TCTGTGGGATGATGTCGTGACGACCGTGGCCATTGGGAAGACTGAGGGAGCTAGAGAGTGGTATGAAGAGATTGAGACAGGAGATCAAAAGGACCTTCATCTTAAAGAATGGCACGGAGTAGACGAGTCAACAAGTGTATCTGAAGAATTGATGAGTTGGTTTCCATTGGAGTCAATCTTGCGTATGGCGCTCTATAAATATAGCTTTATATCCTTTTCCAGCTCGCTGTGTACATGCATATGGTTGGTGGAAGAGGATAGACTGACTGACGATGGAAATGGTACATTTTTTCCACTACTTGAATTACGCCAGAGAAACTACAACTAGAAATAATCAAAGGCTGTTGCGCTCATCCTCGATCAGGGCAGAGGAAGACAGGCGAAATGGCAATTGAGGTGCCGGATCTGCATCGGCACATAGGGCTATTATTAGAGGCTACTGTGGCTGCCGGCATGTGCGGAGAAACCGGGGATCTGGACCGTGGAGAAGCGGGGGAAGAAGTGCTTACCGGAAAGGGCAACTCCTCTGCCGGAAACTTGGTGGACAGAGAGCCATGACCCTTTCGCACGGGTTGATGCCCAGATATGGCGCAGGAGCTATCATACCTACTCATACGACCAATCGACCCAAATGTAACGTTAGACTTGGCTAAGTGATTCAATTGCCGCTAGTCCAAAGATCGTCGGTACTCCCGAGCCAATATTATTCTTATGCGCGGCTAGCAGAAGCTTCGTTGATTCAGATTGTCTCAGTTGGTGGAAAATATACCTTGCGGGCAAGAACATTGGTGATTATTTATGTTTTGAGTTGTGTCACAAAGTAATCAGATCCGTACGCTCTTTCTTATTGACGTAAAAGAGAAAATCCGTCTGCGAGGTATTGTCCCACCTGTCACATATCTCCCGTGTCGGGTTCCAGAGCCGCTGAGGAACGATGATCCCTTCCAGAATGGTGCTGCGCCAGGAAAGCTCCTTTAATTAAAGTAGTATCGCATGATGTCGACAATAGGACCCTGAAACTGATGGGACGAGTCTCGAGGATAGAGATATGCTGGCCTATGCATTAATATTTAAAGCCTCAAAATAACTCACTCTGCCTTTCGAGAAGGAATTCCATCAAGTACTACACTCACCAGTTGTCCTCTTCTAACAATTCTCTGAGATCCATCCTTACTGCTTGTCTACTTTCAGTAAATTATTCAAATAAATACCATGGCGATTAAGAACCTCATACCTATCGCTCTCTTGGCACTTGCCCACTTTTCACCCATGGCCATGGCACAAGGTGCAGCTTGCGCTCCTGGCGGCACTTTTGATCTATCCAAGTGGAAACTACAGCTCCCAACTGGCAAGGCCGGGTCGCCGGACGAGGTTTCAGCTTCTGAGCTCAAGGGCTGCAATGGTTACAAGTCCGAATACTTCTTTACCAGCCCCGACGATGGCTCCCTCGTCATGAAGGTCCCAGGCTCTACCTCCACCACTGACTGTGTCACGACCCCCAACAGCAAACACTGCCGCACGGAGCTTCGTGAGAATAGCCCTTCAAAGTGGAGTCCTTCTGCTTCTAAGAATCGGCTGTTTGGCGACTTGATCGTGAAACAAATCAAGGACGACCGAGTTGTGGTCGGCCAAATCCACATCGACGGCTCCGTCTCCACGAAGCCCGTTTGCGAGCTTTACTATAGTTCGAAGGGTGATCTGACGATGGGTGTCAACCGATGCCGCACGTGCGGACAGGAGACATTCAATGTCGGTCACGTCCCTGTAGGCCAGAGATTCACCTACGAAATCCGGTACGAGAAGGGTATTCTATCCGTTAGCCTCAATGGCCAGGCTTTCCAGAAACTCGACACCTTTGACCTCGACAACCCGGATAGCTACTTCAAGGCCGGCAACTATAACCAGGGCAATGGTCCTACGGAGGTTCACTTCTTTGCAATTCGCGTTTCCCACTAGGTCCGTCGATCTCAGCAATAGTTGGGCTTCTTAACTGCGACAACAGGATTGCGAGGGAGACTTAGTTGGCCGCCAACAGACGAATGACAGCAGAAGGGCGAAAGTCAGACAGTGGCCTTTTCCCTACTATACACAGAAATATACAGAGGGTCAATGATTAATGATTACTGTACAGATCATTAAGTCTTGCCCTGTAGGATATGTTGGGCTAGAGTTGGATACAGTATATGATGAAGAGCGTAGCGTCTTTCAAAAAAAAATAAATCCACCAACAACCTCACTACTGGATCAACACTTCCACTAATAGAGATTAATATCCTTCCAACACAGTTATCTAAGCGCTTGATTTCTTCCTCCTGGGAACCTGAAGCAACTTCAATACCTAACCAGACTGGTTATGTTGATATTTCCGGACCTCTCAAGGCAGTAGAGAAAGAACATGCTAATTAGCATCTATCCTGGGTGAAGAGTGGCAGCTATAAGAACAATATTAAGAGAGCTCATGATATAGCATTAGAGGACTGCCTTAATCATAGACAAATCCATGCGGAAACGCTCATACGGTTCAGTGATGACTGGTTATCCGATTGATCTTTGATGAGCTGCCAGGCCTCGTCGGTAGAGATGGCGATCTTCTGCCTGGGCCGTCCTCTTCAGGTTCATCTTCAAACTCACTACGCGCACGTTGCAGTGCAGTATCTGCACCAAGTCTGTGGCTTCTTCCTCCGCCGCTTCGCCCCTGTGGTTCTCTGGAGGTCCTGTTAGACTGTCCTGCTCCGGTTGTCCATTCGGGTCAATATGCAATCAGGACATGAAGAGAGGCAGCCCGCTAACCGAGAATAGAGACTCATACCGACGAGAATTATGGTCGTACTATAAAGAAGGAACTGACTGGAGAGCAGGTAGGAATATTTGGGGAGTACCTGTCCAAGGCGAACGAAAAGGAATGGTACTGCCTTAGTGCTTTCTAGGGGAGGTGTCGGCGAGACACCTTACGTAAAACTCCGAAACTACAATACTATCCTGGGTACCCACTTTGCTCTACATGGCGTAGGGCTGGTCTGTGTGTACGGAGTAGTGCCATGGTCGACAGTCCACACCGCAGTCATACTCGAGTTACCATGTGCCCGTGTTCATATCTTTGCAGGGGGCCTTCCCTATACTGATAAGCAGGATCTAAAATTTACAAGTACAGCCTCAAAGCAATACTGCGCTGTATGTGATACGGCATATCCTACAGACACGAGGTAAGCCTAATCTAGACAACAAAAAGAAGTGACTTAATAAAGGGAATCTTGAAGCAAGCATAGATTGTTATAAGGATAGAGAATGCTGGTTCCCTGCACACGGTTCCTTCACTCTGGCCGGTCCCTACTCTGCAATGGGTCTACTCGGCCCGTGTGATACTGTTTGGTGCCGCATCAACTCTCAGTAGATCCTTACTTTGTTCGGTCCTGTTCCCAGTGGGTCCCTACGCTGCCCTACTCAGTAGTGGATTTCTATTCGGTAGTGGATTCCTACCATCTAGTGGGTTCCTACTCTGGAGTCGGCCCCTACTCCGAGGTGGAGTCCTACTCTGAGATAGGTACCTACTCCCCGGTCAGTTCCTGCTCTGTAGTGGGTGCCTATCCTCTTGCGGGCTCCTACTATCCAGTCAGTTCCTACTCTGTAGTAGGTCCCTTTCATATAGCGGATTTCTACTCTATAGTAGGTACCTAGCGATGACAAGTGACATAGACTATGGGCGAATTGTCACCGAACCCTGTATCGCTGACTTTTAGCGGACTCGGTCAGGAGGATCTCAAACACAGGATGTTGGCATTTCTTTCCGGCATAGATAATTAAGGGGGGCAGATGAAAATTTGTTATTCAGTATAGTAAATTATTGTCTTCCAATATATCAACCGTACCTGCGAACATACTGCGATATAATAAAGTACAGTATTAATAGTCCGTGATTCAGCGATAGGGACAACTCTCAGCTCCATTACGCCATCCCATGTAATTCCAAAACCATCGCACAAGTGGAGTGATCAGTGCGATAAAAGGTAAGCTGGAAAGTTAGCTCCAGATATCTTAGAGCATTAATAAATAGGACCGCACTTACGTCCGCGGACTTTGTACGATATTTCGAAGAATAGTAACGGTTCGCGAAGGTATTGGCGAAGAGGAAGAGTGAGAAATCGACGGAGTAGCTTTTTCATTGGTACCCATTTCGTTTCCATCTGACAGTAGAATATATTAGCACCGCTCGAAGAAAGGAAGAGTAGGCTGTGTGGAACAGCTGCACCCAGGAATCAATGGTAGATAAACAAAATAGAAGACCACCGGCTATGCGAGGTATTTATGTACGATAACTAACGCTAACCGCCCCTTCGCCAGCCTTGTAAGGGTTTGTAGGCCGGCTATTCACTATCAACTACTCCTGAGTTTTGATCATTCTCATTCTATACTCCACATGGAGACAGGGATGTTGCTGAACTTCCTTTAGATACTAGTCTTAGATCCGATCTCCTAATCCGGCTGACGAGCCCCTGGCGACTCTGGAGCAGAGGGATACTAGGGTCTGTGAGATACTTAATCAAGCAATTCATTCTATTAGTACTAGCAAATTCACGTAAGGCACAGGCTCTTCTCTTGATCCCTAATAATTTTCAAGAGACTAGTGATTTCTAGGGTTGTCTATATCATGATGGGCTCGCGTCTTGCTTGACAAGTCTGTGAATACGCTAGTGGCAGTAGATGTGAGAAACTATCTTATATCATTTCAGAACCACTGTCGGAACTTCTCGGTTTTTGCGATTGAGCTCCAAGTGTAGTTGATGCCTCCTTCTGGTGCATTGATGAGCTGGTATGACAAGGCCGGGCCCCTACAGAGAAAGAAGACAAAGGAGAGCAATTAGCCTTTGCTGAATGAAGATCGACATGGTGCCAGCTTGCAGAGGTCTGACACTTAGCAGAAGTCAGTGATGGTGATGGGATAACCAGCATCATTCCTTCCGCCACGGCTTGTACAATCTCTTCATAGTACCTGGTCGCAGAGGTCAGAAGGGGCCCTCCATCATCGGGACCCTTATGATGATCGAGTTCTCAAACTGCCATGGGGTTCCAAGAGTATTTGTCTGCAGCGAGGAAATTGTAGTGAAATTATTGAGGTAAACAGAACCAAAGAGCCACCCGCCACCGCTGAGACCGGCCAAGTATGTAGCTGACTGCAACAAGCCGCCTAATTGTCCCTTAGCAGTGGCATTCTCGGTCCGGCCGTCAAAGGCCTTGAGGGCACCAGCACCATTTATCAGGGCACGGTAACCTCCTCCGGAGACAGCGATGCCAATGTTAGGCAGAAGCAAGGCGTCACTGGAGATATTATCAAGGTAGGACACGGCGTTAAAATCCTTGATTTGAGTATGGCCGAAGAAGTATTTCATCGCCTTGAATGTCTTTTGTCGCCAGAGCCCCAGCCAATTTAGCTCGCTGGGCGACAGCTTCGCGGCGCTACGTACACTGGGAACGGAGGTTGGACATTCGACTTCAGATGGGGCATATCCGTGAGGGGCGTCAGATAGTGCACGAAGATTGAGTCCAGTATCCTCTCCTGCGTCTGTAGCCAAACCGCAGTTTTTGTGAGCTATCACATATTCAGCAGAGTAGGGCCGGTTGGGAGGCTCACAGGAAGCATGAACAACAACGGCCGGCCAGACGAGCCACAAGAACCACTTATCCTGAAAGAACAAGCTCGCAAACCCTTCTTGCCGTCGAAACATTGCCCATGCATTTCGCACCATTTATGGCCTGACAAAATCGGGATGCCGAGGAAATCAGCGAGCTTGCAGTTGAAACCATAGCTTGTGGCCACGGTTTTACTGGCATGCAGGAACCGACTGTGGAGCTCCGTCGCCTCCACATCCAACGCCTACAATCAGTCGTAGGAACAATTTGGATGGAGTACATCGCATTTCCTGAGCTCAAACCGAAGTATAGCTTGGGCGCAAACTAGGAGTATCTGCCGTCCCTGTCTTCCTTCCTCTGAATGATGTTATGCGCCACTATGTACTTCCCAGCACGTTCAGCCAGAATAATCCCCAAACTCAGAGTCCGGATTGTGTTCAGAGAGGTGGGCACCTGAACAAAGGTGCTCTAATTCTTAGCCTTTTGGTGAGAGATGCAAATGACCCAGATGACCAGACGGAGAGGACTAGTGAATAAGCCAAAGACCCAGCCTCTTACCATTCGTCCTTAAGCATGTTGAGCAAAAGCTGATTTTAGCTGCTCATGTCAGCCGGGAGTTTGGCTGTGTTGTTCTTTCCGCTACACCGCCAACAGCATCACCAGGCAATGATGGCAGTCACCAGGCAATGATGGCAGCTTTGCTTTTCGCATCTCGGTTGAAGGGAACATCGCCACCGCCAGGACTACACATAGGGATATGGCCTGACATTGCTGGCTTCTGTAACTGAGGCTTGTGGCAGCAAGTAGATGGAGAAATTGAGTCTCACCTGGTAATCTTGAAGGTCATAATCTATGTACGAAGGATTTGTCAAGAGAGGTCTTTGAAACAATCGCTTCCTACAAGCATGCAGCTGCTACGACTGACCCACGCGTGCAAATGTTGCGCAATGCGTCTGAGAGCCTCGCACATTTCAACCGGGCATTAGCCAGCATCGGACAGAAGTTCCCTGCACACTGCGACTCGTCCTTTTACCAGTATGACTGGCCGGGGCTCCTGACGGCCTTTGCATACGAACCATCGAACCCAACCTTGGACTCCTTCGAGCCGGAGTCCCTCATCCGTGCCACCCAGTCCACATACAGGGCAATCTTCAGTAGCTACCTTACACTCACCAGGAATATATACTTCGACCGTTACCGGTCCCCTGATAGCCCCGCGGTGGATGGAACTATCATCACGAATCGCTGGGGCATGAAGCCCTCAATTTCGTCGATGGTCATCGTCATCGTCCTCTTGTCCATGGACATCTCAGTGCTGGTCCTCGGATTCGCCCTTCGTCGCAACAATTTCGATGGGCCGCGTATTCCGAAATCCGTTGGGTCGCTGATTCCGTGGGTCGCACGGAGCAGGATTGCGCCTGACTTCCGGGGAATGTCGCGGATGACGGACAGCGAGCAGCGGGATTATCTCATGCAAAGGAGCCACAAATACACTTTTGGCCTGTCTTTTATGCCCTGATGGTGAAGAACGGAGGGTGCTCGATTACGACCGCCGCTACTTGAAGGAAGAGGACCGTGAGCTGGACGAGATACGTGGGATTGTTGGTTAGCGATGGCAATCATGGCAGTGTTGGGGGTGGTCCACATAGTGGTAATGAAGCAACACTCATACTGTAACCCTCTTCTTTGAGTCGGAAGACTCAGACTGGGCAGCGGTCGTATAGCTGGAAGCTATGTGATCATGATATATAGTCTAAGTTTAGCGCCCATAGCATGGATTTGCCCTCAGACATTGCCCCAGTACTATACATAAGGCAACATAAAGAATTGTGCACCACCTCCTAGATAGGCTTTTCTATTATCTCAAGCAGCTGCGGATCATGAATTTCAACAGTCAAATGCTCTTAGATCTCTAATCCAGCAGCCTTTGGTAGAATTCAGGAAATGGCTTTCTAAGCACCTCAAATAGGTCTGTCTGTAAGATGATCTACAGTAGAGAAGCAGCAGTAAGGTAGCGCAAGAAACAAGAATTACGTGCCGCACCTGCCATGCCGTCAGAGAGCCAAGCGAGCCAATTAGAGCTCAATGCGACAGCCCGACAGAGTGGAGCCCAATTATGATCTATAGCAGATCTACCTATGCGGCTGAGGGGAGAGTGCCGCCCTGACAGTGCCAGGCAAACGCCGATAGGCCAATAATGTTTCACCAGGGAAGTCCCCACCAGCTATTCTCCTCGGATCGTTTCATAGCACGGAGCAACTCAAACGTGGCAAGACAGTATTGGCCGCTGGACCTGGGTCAATCAGATAGCACCCTATAAATATCCTTGCGAGCCTGATAATGTCTTTCTAGTAGGATGTAACATAGAATATGGATTGTTTATAGTATCAACCACTACAACCCGAGAAGTTGTAAGATCTATTCACATATACAAGAGATAGACAGTAGTGATTTATACTCATTGAGTGCAGATGGCAGGTGTTCAGGACCGTGGAGATAGAGAAGTATTCAGGGAGTATTAACTATTAGCTTTCAGCGCCATCAGTCTCGAGTAGACGGGATTTTTTCATAATCCGAGTTTCGAGTTCGGAGTTATTCGGGGATCTTCGTTCGGGGGCTGAATCGTCAACGGGCCGTGTCTATAGTCTATACAGACCCACAATCACAGGCTTATTAGCCGCTTGCCAACAGGCAGCTTTTGAATGGCTCTCTTCACTGGCTGGCATGGGATGGGGATGGTTAAGGTATCCTAGCTGTATTGATGCATTACAGCGAACTGCAGGGATCTGCCAGCCAAGTTAGCCAACCGCCTGCTTGGTGATTTGGTCTTGATGTTGAGGCTATTCCTCCGGCCGTCAATCAGGACCACTCCTTAACCTCTGGCTGGAACGGGCTGAATTTCGATAGACAAGATTGCGTAATCTCTAACAGGGGCAGGCTACCCAGCAACCAGCCCCCAAGCGGAATGAGCCCGCGTGGTATAATAGAGTAAATAACTGTGATGTACAATCAAGCCTTCTCCTCCAGTCTGCCTTGCCACTACTTAGCCATTCCTAAAGTAGTTAATGATGGTGTCTCCACCATCATAGACAAAGAAGAGAGGGTGACCACTTGTAGCCCTGGCTGGATTAGGGTTACGTTCACACAAGGAGAGCATTATCAGAATATGGTAAATAAAGGAGCCAGTGAAGGACAGAAAGAAGGGGGAAATAGTAGCTAAGAGGCTCAACAGATAGATGTTAGTATCACTTTCCTTTCTAATTAGTTAATAACAAGGCTGAGTGGGGTCCCAGCCCACTACGGTAGAACAGTAGCAACCATCACACAATATGCTCTCCAAATGAATCAGAGATAAGGACAAGGACTTACGCAAGCTGATGTGAGCCATTTTGTTCACCTGTTGGTAGGCAGCCTTGTGTAATGTAATTCAATACCCTTGTGCCAACTGTCTCCACTGGTACTACTATGATGCTGGGCTAGACCCCAGTGGAAGGCTAGATGGCAGCTACCAGCCATCCTGTTCTCATGCACTGCACCATGCCACAGAGGCTAGATCCTGGACATCAATGTTTAAGACGCAGATCAGATTAGATGGGAGTAGACTGTTTGCTGGGCGGATAGTCTCGGAGTACGGAGTAGGCTTGCCTAGAAGGACGGGTGGTGGGCATTGAAAAGTGGATTGACCAACATCTTTGTTGGCAAAGCGGAACGGCTCACTAGTCTTAGCCGAAGGCATCTAGCAATACAAACCATTACTAGCGTGAGAGGACGCACGTCTGAATACTACCTCGAGGGAAGATAGCTTGAGGAACCATGTTTTTTCTTTTATCCCCCAAGTGACATGGATAGGTTCCGGATGTTGCGGCTCTAGCTGGGGGAAGGTCAACATGCTCAGTGGTCGAACCATTTTTAGCCAATTCCCCGGTACGAGTGTGGTATTCGGGTCAGACTCGGGAGTAACACCAAGACGAACCATTCAACCAGTACATCGATTCCTCATCCTGACACAAAAGAGTAGAGGAGTACCATTATACTCAGAATAGGCCAAAGAATCCAGAGAAATGGAAATCACTATTTACCCTGTATTCCCTATATAGAGTCTAATCTAAGAATTTTCGACTACAACACTAACCTGTCTGGGAGCTTTCGACCATATAGATATACGCTATTTCGGACAATAAGGACGGCAATCTTCAAAGTTGAATATCTTCGTCAGGATGTAAGATAAAAATAGTCATTAGAGTACTCTCTCTTCCTCTATCTTCTATGAAAAAAAAGGGCTAGACTGTTGACTACTGAACCTAGGAAAGAGCTGATTGTCGAGGCTGACTGGCATCATGGCCGATGACTGCAAAATGCTAATGGTATGGCGTCCGTGGAACGTTCGTCGGTTGCTGCCTGGATTCTTGCTGCCGCTCATGTCCGCACGATGCACATTGTTGAGGATTTTGACGTGGCTCATTCGAGTTTCTGATAGACGTCAGTCGATAATTCTCGACTTGACCATAGTGTCTTGGGAGTACCGACTTACTGAAGAAGCTTCTTCGCTACGAAGTAGCCAACAGTGCCGAACAGACCGATCTTGAGAAGCGCCATCCCTCTTCTGGGTCCGTATGCTCGCAACGGAAAGTTGGCTCGAGCAAAGACTTGTCTGGCATGAAATCGACTGGATCGGCGAGTAGGATAGTCCATGATTTGTTGTTGAATTTGATTCCTTAAAACCTCGCAGGTGGACGACGAATGTATATAGGTAAAAACATCCAAGCCGAGTCCGGAACTCCGAGGCCGATCGGGGTCGGCTTTCCTTTAGAATAGCTCGGCCGCGGACTCGGCCTCGGGTGTGCAGCAGCGCCTTTGCGTACATCACCAACGAACAGCATCGGACGTCCGATCTTTTACTCGACGTCGGGCATTGCTAGTGACAGCATGTGTGTCCGACCTCCTTTCATACGCAGAATTTGGCCTCGTCCCAGAAATATATAGCACTGGCCATATTCTTTGAAATCGGACTTGTTATTCCAATCGACGTCACAAGCACAACTATCTTTTGCGCGCCCTATCAAGCACCCCACAGCAGCTATGCACGACGACCGCAGCGCTGAGCTCGAGAAGGGCAGTCCAACCTCTTCAAGTCCATCGAGTCCAGCGGAGCCCAAGCCTCAAGCATCTGGCCCACCAGCAGCACCCGAAGGAGGCACAAAAGCCTTCCTATCGCTACTCGGAGGCTCCTTGGGTCTTTTCATCTCATTTGGATGGGTCAATTGCATTGCTCTGTTCCAAGCTGAATATCAGACCAACCAGTTGAAGACCTATAGCAGCTCGGAGGTGTCCTGGATCACTTCGTCCGAATGTGAGAGCCTTCTTCCCCAACCGGCCGTGAAATCACAAGCTCATTTCAATGTAGTTTTCTTCATGCTGTTCATGTCACCGTTGTCTGGATATCTATTTGACAACTATGGACCACGATTGCCCATCGGTATCGGTGGATTGATGCATGTGTTTGGCCTCATGATGACCAGCGTGTCCAGCAAATACTACCAATTCTACTTGGCACAGTCGGTTTGCTCAGGAATCGGCACATCGCTCATTTTCACGCCAGCAATGACTTCGGTTTGTGTGATCACTCTTGGAACTTATCGCGCATTTTCTGACAAGCTTCACAGCCTATGACTTACTTCAGAAGGCGCCGCGCTTTGGCAGGAGGATTGACCGTTGCAGGCTCGAGTCTGGGTGGTGTAATCTTTCCCCTCATGGTCAACAGCCTCCTTTCGGAGGTCGGCTTTGCATGGACGATGCGAATCTGCGCTTTCTTGATTCTTGGGCTCTGGGCTATTGCCATGCTCACCATCTCCTCCAACTTGCCTCATACTCGCAAGGCGTTCAACCTTGCGAACTACCTTCGGCCTTTCACGGAATTCAACTTCTTGATCTTGTTGACGTTCTGCTTTTTCCTTTACTGTGAGCCGCCTATCATTATGCTTCATCGCAACACAGCTAACCAGGGTTTAGGGGGATTGTTTGTCCCTTTCGACTACCTTGTCCTGTCCGCTATGCATAACGGAATGTCAATGACTATGGCCTACAATCTGATTCCCATCATGAACGGAGCGAGCTTTTTTGGACGTACGATTCCCAATGGCCTTGCCGACAAGTATGGCCGTTTCAATGTGCTTATCATCATGCTTCTTTTCACTGGTATCATCACTCTGGCCTTGTGGTTGCCTGGTCGCAGTAACGCGGCCAACATTGTCTTCGCCGCTTTGTTTGGTATCGGATCTGGCACCACCATTGGCTTGACACCGCCCCTTGTGATGACTCTCTACCCACCTCAGGAGATCGGGTTTCGAATCGGGTTGGCTCTTGCTATCGCAGGCATTGGTACCCTTACGAGCCCTCCGATTGCTGGTGCAATTGCAGAGACAGATGGAGGCTCTTTCCTCTTTGCGGCCTTGTTCAGCGGCGTGAACTTCATGGTCGCGACAATCTTTTTGGTGTGGCTGAGGGGTAGAGTTTCTGGTTGGAATCCCCTCACAAAAGCTTGATGCCTAGGCAAGGGCACTGAGCGCAGCAGCCTGCTGCAATTACAACATCTAATGAAGAAGAGGAACATACATCGGCACACGCGTGACATGAACACGATCTTGCGGATTCTCTCAAGTTATCAATAAGAATAAGATAGTGAATAGTTACCTAACTATGATTAACTTGTTAGTGAGTTCAAGCGGTCGAAATTATATAATCATATCCCGCACCGAGGGGAGTGGAATGAGAAACTCTGGGAATTGAAAACCTCCTTTTGTCTGTCGACATTTTCTACCGAACTCGGCCGACCGGGTGTGTCCTGCTCGGTTAGGAATTACATTACGCTAGTTGCTGACAGCGTTTCCATAGACTTATAAGCACTTATCTGTATCCTTGTTTTCTAGCGGTGGCACTAGTCGTCTCGACATGCTTGCTTTGCTGCATTGGTCCACAAGGGTAGCGGTTGCTATATTCGGCTGCGAGTTATGTATTTATACCAATCCGAACCAACGTTAGGATAACCTCCTAGCGTGTCCTCATTGGATGATGGAATGGTCTGGTGCGCTTCCGGGGATGCGAGAAGAGTTCCTTAGTCGTCGGCCCGTCATGCCGTTTGGGGGCCGTACTGCCGCGACAACGGGCGCCGTCGCGGATCCATTCTGCGTTTCCATACGCTATTCGTTGCAATGAGGAAGCACATGCATGGTCCCATTGCCAAAACCACGTTGTATTTCGTGAGCTGCTGACGGTTTCCCGCTGTGAGGCTAAAGACCTTGGTGTAATGATGTCGAAGGATGCGTTATGAGACATATATCTCTTGGCCGTTGGCACAAGCCGTGAGGCACAATGTCCACATCACGACAATTTCGCCTCAGTGATGACTATTGCACACGAAACCTCAGCCACGTCCAGCCGTCGCCGACGCCCAACCTTGGCATGTGAGCCTTGTCGACGAAAAAAGATTAGGTTGCTCATCCCAGGTTTCCACGCATACCAGGCGATCGAAGTGTCAATGCTGACTAAAAGATAGGTGCAACCGCGAAGTCCCCTGCAACCAATGTGTCCGCTCCAAGTCCGAGTACTGCGTCTACATACAGATCGACGACGACGAATGCTCTGTGCAACGTCATTTGAAGCGCAAACGGACCAATGCTGAACATATCCACCAATTCTCAAGACGAGAGAAGGAGGACTCGCATACCTACAGTGAAGATGTGCCGTCATCCGAAGGCGTGAGCCCAGTCTTTCGAACCGGCTTTGAACCCCCAAGACCCGACTCGGCAGTATCAACACCTACCGAGATCACGCATAAGGGTATTTGCTCAAATGGCAGCTCATCAAGTGAGGACGGCTCAGGATTCCTTCCGATCCGCGGCATATTTTTGGATTCTCGCTTCTTTGGACCAAGCCACTGGATAAACAGCGCTGTTCACGTAAGCGAAAGCCGTGCCCAAGAGTCAACGCATACATTACTGACCCATGGTGTGGAACAGTTTCGTAAAGTTCATACATTACAGCGTGCTGTCGAGCAAGAGCCCGGAGGAAATCTGTACAGGCAATGCAGGGAACTGGCGGAAACAAGACGATCACAAAATTCGATCCCGCAACTGCTGGTCACCAATCTGAAAGATCTGATTCCTCCTCAAGCCATCACCGATCAACTTATTCAAGCATATTTGCGGACCTTCGAGTCAGTGTTACGCGTGTTACACGTTCCATTGTTTCTTCACGAATGCCAAGGTTTCTGGGAGAGACCACTGGCCTCCTCGGAGGACTTCCAGCTTCAATTACTCCTAGTGATATCGATTGGGGCGTTATTCTCGCCCAAGCTGAGAGACAGCTGTAACGAGTCGGTCTGGATCCATGCTGCAGAGTCCAGATTGTTGTCCAATGGTGGGGACCGCTGGACCGGACTCACTGGTGTGCAGAACTTATGCCTTCTCATGATTGCCCGGCTTGTCAGTCCTTACCACTCGGGTGCTGATTTGGTCGGCTTGTCGGTGGAAAGTCTGATGCGGGCAGCGATGCGGATCGGCCTACATATAAGTCCGAAGATGTTGCCACAGATGAGTTTCTACGAGCAGGAGCTTCGTAGACGGCTATGGGCCACTGTGCTTGAGATCTCGCTGCAGTTCAGCATCGAGGTCGGGGCAGTGCCACTGATTCCGATGGATGGCGTCGACTTTGAGCTTCCTCTGAATGTACCGGACGAAAGTTTCGATCAAAATACGGAGACAGAGCCGACGTCAAAGCCGCTAGATGACCTAAGTCACACATCCATTCAGATATTTCTCATGGAGTCCTTCCCGGTGCGCCTCGAGATTGCAAGGATGGTGAATTGCCCTCGGCGTGAGATCCCTTACCAGCGACTTCTACAGCTGAGCTCGCGATTAAGCGCTCACTGTAGATCAACGCAGGCACGACTCAATGTTGGCAACAACAAGGCACAATCACAGAAATTCCCGGTGCGGCTTTTAAACATGTTTATGTATCGCTACCTGCTAGCGTTACACGTTCCATTTGCACTCAAGGCTAGTACGGATCCAACGCTATACTTCTCGCGGAAGGTCAGCTTGGAAGTGGCGCTTTCCTTACTGGATCATCCAACGGGTCCGGACGAAGATGATTATGTACGTGCCATGATTATCGGCTCGGGCGTCATGTCTAGCTCCTTGAATTTGGCTATTCTCGTCGTCTCCGCAGAGCTTTTGGACATGCTAGAAAACGAGATGTCGGCTCTCACACCCATATCCAATGCCATGAATCGACAACCACTTCGCAAGATCTTGGATGAAAACATACAATTGATCTCACGACGCATATCGCAAGGCCAGCCCGACATTCAGGTGTCGATGCTGTTTGCCGGGCTGACAGCACAAATCGACGCAGCTCAAGCAGGACAACCCACAGACGATGCCATTATTGACGCCTTCCACAGGTGTTTGTCGGAGAACTTCAATACCTTGAAAACGCGCATGCATGATCATCAGGTACTCGATCCGATCCTGGAGTCGCCCACTGGGTGCTTTGACCTGCTAAATACTGCGTGGGATTCAGGCCCCCTGCCAGAATGGATGCTGCCTGAGGGGACATGATGGGAATGTTCATTAGCTGACGCTGGTGACGACTATGGGCCATAGGTTGAGCTTGCCGACTGCAGGGCAGGATCCGTCACCAATCCTAGATACATGAGCGCATGCAAGAGAGTTTATAAACATGATACGTCTTTCCCATTATTTTGTTGCGCTCATTTCGGGCCAAATCCGGCTGTGACGGCACCTCGCATTTCCCCCTCACATGACTCGTCAGGTACACGAAAGTCTCTTGTTGGCTCGACTCGAGCACCCAATTTTACTTGTATGTATGTAGATGCTATTCTTTCCCAATGGCATAAACCCACTTTCGTCCCCGAATTTCACCCCTGCCCATTGCTTCCAGCCCGCGGACAATGGCGTCAAGTCCCCCGGTCTGTTCGATGTAGGGACCGGGCACGAGTGTGCCAGCCTCCAACAATTCTTGCATTTCTTCGTACCAGCCTGTGGCAAACCTGTAGTCCTGCGGTCTTTCATCGCGGTAGTAAGGTCGCTTCCAGGGGATCGTTTGATCGAATTGGGTGAACATGAAAACCCATCCTGGCTGCACGCTACGTCGTCGATGCAGGCGAAGAGGGAACGGATTCAATGCTACGTATCTGCCACCATCCGAACCGATCGCATTGTAGCAAATGGTCATGGAACCGGAGTCAACGTGGCAATCCAGAGCACATCCTAACTCATTGGCTGTGTATTCGCGAATGTCGCTGGCGCACGTGGGAGACTGATAGTCGAACGTCGCCACGGCCCCCAAACGACGCAGCCGGTCGAAACTGCCCGGCGAGCTGGTCACGATGGGCTGCAAACCAGATCTATGATGACGATCGATGTCAGTATCATGGGTTACCGGTAGGTTTCATACCGGGTGAGTAGCTAAAGTTGTTGGTGTTGCCTGGGGCTCTGCTGGGCGGGGGCATCTGCTTACAGCGTGAGGATTTGAGTGGCCAACGCGCCTGTGGCTGTCCCCGCTCCTGACACGAGCACTGGGAATCCTTTCTTCGCCGGTGCTGAAGGCGTGCACTTCAGCCTCATCGCCTGATACAGCGCCAGTCCGACCGTCGCAAGACCAACACCGAGCGTGGCCGCACTCTGGTATGACATGGTGGGTGGAACCACCAGCACCAGCCGCGCGGGGACCGCGACGTACTCTGCAAACGCTCCGTTATCAGGCCTCATTGGATTGTTACCGAAGACGCATCCACAGACCCGTGCTCCCAATGTGACGGTCGAGACGGCCTTGCCCATCTGCACGACCTCTCCGGCGAAATCACAGCCCACCGTCGCTCCATGTGTAGGCGACATTTCGACCGACTTGCTGTCGACCGGGTTGAGGGCCACGCAGACCACACGGACTAGCACTTCTTCGTCGCCAACTTGAGGCAGGTCACCTTCGCTTGTCGTGGCCCCACCATCTACACTGACCTTGATGGCCCGTTGCGACTTGGGCAGGCCAATGGGTGGCATGTGGATTGCCATTGTCTTTGCTCGTCCCCTTGGATATTACCAGGAAACTCGAGAGAAAATGAGTCGATAAGGTAGGAGGTAAGATTCAGGTAAGTTGAATAGGCTGTGCTGGTCCGACAGAACCCTTAGACAACATCACGCTTTTACATACTGCCCTTTGAATGTGCCTTATCAATCGGACCAGTGAATGCGGCCTGTGATTGATGGGATTGTGGCCAAAGGTGTCGGACCTGAAGGTACCGGTCGACATATCTCCGGCCCCGGATATCCCGACTCAAACCACATTCATGATCGGACGTAAATGTTCAGCTCCGAAAACCAGGCCTGGAAGTAAAGAAGCCTCTTCACAATGGTTCCTTGGAATCAATGAATTGAATATAAGCAGTCCTGGTTGGTTCACGTTTCCTCTGGCCTTCAATATTCCTTCAGCTTTTTTTATTTATACCACCTCTGTTTTCTGTGCCCGGAACCTAGTGTAAGATCTTGTAGCTGCAAGTTTCCCAAAACAATCGACAAAGAGAAGAATAGCCCGCCATGAACTCATCACAAACTGATCCCATAGCCATTGTTGGCATGGCCTGCCGCTTCCCTGGAGGCAGCAATACCCCGTCGAAGCTGTGGAACTTGTTAAAGACGCCTTACGATGTTCTCCAAGAGTTTCCCCCTTCACGATTGAACCTCAATCGGTTTTATCATGCACAGGGGACAAACCATGGATCCACAAATGTCACCAATCGAAGTTACCTCCTCGATGAAGACGTCAAAGCCTTCGATGCCAAATTCTTCAGCATATCCTCTCCAGAAGCAGAGAGCATGGATCCACAGCAACGAATACTGCTAGAAACTGTGTACGAGGCTATGGAGTCCGCAGGCTGGACATTGGAAGATGTTCATGGCTCACAAACTTCCGTTCATGTTGGTGCCATGAACGCTGATTATACCGACATACAAAATCGAGACACGGAGACCATGTCGAAATATAACGCAACTGGAACGGTGCGAAGCATCTTATCAAATCGTGTCTCGTACGTCTTCGACCTCCACGGCCCCTCGGTCACAATCGATACTGCTTGCTCCAGCTCGTTGGTCGCTCTCCACCAGGCAATGCACTCCTTGCGCTCGGGCGACTGCGATAGCGCCATCGTTGGCGGCGTGAACCTGATACTCGATCCAGCGATGTTCATCGCTGAATCGAAGCTTTCGATGCTTTCTGCCGAGTCCCGCTCCCGAATGTGGGACCAGGCCGCCAATGGATATGCTCGTGGTGAGGGCATAGCTGCCTTGATCCTCAAGCCGCTCAGTCAAGCGCTACAGCATGGAGATCCGATCCAAGCAATCGTACGAGCAACTGGTGTCAACTCCGACGGCCGCAGTTCCGGTATCACCATGCCTACTGCGGCGGCACAGACGGCCCTCATCCGCCAAACCTACAAACAAGCTGGTCTTGATCCACTCATCGATCGCCCTCAATTCTTCGAATGCCATGGGACGGGCACGCAGGCGGGCGACCCTATTGAAGCACGAGCTATCCGTGACGCCTTTTTCCCCACTGAGACCTCTGATGAGGTCGCTCCCCTCTTTGTGGGCTCAGTCAAAACTGTCATCGGCCATACCGAGGGCTGTGCGGGTTTGGCTGGAGTCTTGAAGGCAGTCCTCGCAATAAGGAATCAGACAATCCCGCCGAATCTGCTGTTCAATCAACTCAGTGACTCGGTCAGGCCCTTTTACGGCCGCCTGCAGATACCCACCACATCATTGCCGTGGCCTGATACCATTTCTGGAAGTCCGAAACGTGCAAGTGTCAACAGCTTCGGTTTCGGCGGTACCAATGCACATGCTCTGATCGAGGAGTATAAACCTCAGGTCGCGCAGAGCGGTTACCATGCAGACCAAGCTCTTGGTCCGCTCGTGATCTCGGCCCATTCGGGCCCCGCTCTACTGAATAAGGCACGCGATTTGCTATCTTACATGATCTCCAATCCTTCGGCGAATCTGCCAGATATCTGCTGGACGCTGCAGACCAGACGTACGACGCACAAAGTCCGGTGCTATTTCAGCAATCGCAGTTATCAATCTCTGTTAGACAGCTTGGCTGCATTCGTTCAGACAAATCAAAATCTCCAGCCAGAGCAAATTGGGTTCCAGCCGCAACTGATTGATCGTAATGAGTCACCTGGTGTCCTCGGCGTGTTCACTGGTCAAGGAGCCCAATGGCCAACTATGGGCATGGAACTCTTCTCTCGCGTGGCACTTTTCCGTCAATCCATAGAGCAGTGCGAAGCCGTTCTCAACGCGCTTCCGGATCGCCCCGCCTGGTCTCTATGTGAAGAACTCAAAGCAGGCAACGCTTCTTCCCGCCTTTCAGAGGCGGCTGTAAGCCAGCCCCTATGTACTGCGGTACAGATTGCTTTGGTGGATGTGCTGAAAGCAGCCGGCTTGAAATTCCACGCCGTCGTCGGCCATTCATCTGGAGAGATAGCTGCCGTCTATGCTGCTGGCATGTTGAGCCTCACCGGCGCTATGCAGATTGCTTACTATCGAGGTCTCCATGCGCATTTGGCCAAAGGCGATGACGGCCAGCCCGGAGGAATGCTTGCTACCGGCCTCTCTTACGACGAAGCCTTGCAGTTCTGCAATCACCCTGATTTTCGAGGAAGAATTTGTGTCGCTGCAAGCAACTCGCCCACTAGTGTCACTATCTCGGGTGACTTGGACGCAATCTCAATTGCGAAGAAGGAACTCGAAGCTCGGGACGTGTTTGCTCGCCCGTTACGTGTTGACACTGCCTATCACTCGCATCACATGAAGAAATGCAGTGACACTTATCTTCAGTCGTTGCTTGCTTGCGACATCGCCGTCGGTGCTCCGATTGAGGATTGTGTTTGGAGCTCAAGTGTACGTGGTGATACCGAGATCCTGGAAGGCGATCTGTCCCCGTTGAAGGGAGACTACTGGGTCAAGAACATGGAGCAAACGGTTCTGTTTTCTCAGGCGCTTGAATCGGCTATCACCAATGGAGGACCGTTCGATATGGCTGTTGAGGTTGGCCCTCATCCTGCGCTCAAGAGTCCTAGCGAGGATACCTTGAAGGCAGTCTTCGGTTCTGCTCCCCACTACACTGGTGTTTTGAAACGTGGGGAAGATGATTTGGTTGCAATCTCATCTGCTCTTGGTCTCTATTGGTCTACAATGGGGTCGAAATCAGTAGATTTTGCCGGCTTTCGTCGTGCATGCCTTGGCGGCTCGGAAATCGGACAGCCTGAAGTCATAACGGACCTCCCTTGTTATCCTTGGGATCATACTCAGACATTCTGGAGAGAATCTCGTCTATCACAGAGATATCGACTTGGCCAGGACAGCCCTTGCGGGCTCCTTGGTCGCCGTATGCCGGACGATGATGCCCACGAGCTGCGATGGAGAAACATTTTGACTCTTGACGAAAATACATGGCTCGCTGGTCACGAGATCCTTGGCGAAGTGCTCATGCCTGGTGCAGGCTACGTTTCAATCGCACTTGAAGCCGGTAGGCAGCTTGCAGCAGGGCGCCCGATCTCTCTGCTCGAGGCACGAGATGTCGAGGTCCGCCACCCAGTCGCTGTGCCTAAGCATCCCGACTCGGTCGAAACTATGTACATCGCTCGTGTGCAACCTTCGCAGGACCGTAACATCATCGAGGCCGAATTCGATTTCTGCTATTGGCCCAGCTCTGGCACAGCAGCAGTGCGGGCTTGCAGTGGCCGTATTGTGGTTTACCTTGGCGATGGCAAGGAGGAATCTTTGCCACCTCGACGTGCCTCGCCAACAAATCTCTTGAATGTATCGGTAGCCGATGCTTATGACGTATTCAAGTCGATCGGCCTCAATTATCAGGGCATTTTCAGAGGCATGAGTAGTATCGATCGCGGGTCTAATCATGCCGTTACCCAGGCCGTCTGGGATACGTCCAACCTCGATCAAGTGTACCTCGTCCATCCTGCCATTTTGGACGTCGTGTTCCAATCGATATTCCTGGCCAAGTCGTATCCGGCCAAATCGCTGATGCATTCAGCTTTCCTACCGGTCAGAATCGCGCGGGTCACTGTTAATCCATGTGTACCTGTCACGAACACGACTGGATCGATAGAGATCGGCACGGAGTCGTTTGTCACACACAGCGATTATCGCTCCCTTGAGGGAGATATGCACGTGTACAATCGCGCAAACAAACCATTCTTGGAGGTAGAAGGCCTCTCTCTGAAGATTGCCAGCGAACTCCAGGAGTCCGAAGATGTCCAAATCTTCTGTCAAACGACCTGGGGACCGGACATATCGCTGGATCTGTCAGAGCCGGAAAGAAACGACGATCACGACAGTGAACAGAGTGCAATTGCCACCACAATTGACCGCATATGCTTCTTCTACCTGAGGAACTGTCTAGACCAACTCAATGCTGTAACTCGCGAACACTGTCAATTGCATCATCAACGCATGATCAAATCTTTCGAGCGTATTCTAGACCTTGTACGACGGGGACAGCATGCTTTGATTGACAAGGAATGGCTCGAAGATGATTTTGAGGTCGTCCAGTCGCTACTTCAAAAATATCCTGATCAAATTGACTTGGAGTTGGTGGTGGCAATTGGAAATACCTTGCCTAAGGTCGTGAAAGGTGAGACACAACTCTTGGAGGTCATGCTTGAGAACAACATGCTTGGCCGGTACTATGTCGAAGGGTGTGGCTTCGTCACGATCAATCGAGAGATTGAGCGTTTGTTGCAGAAAATCACGTTCAAGTTCCCTCGTGCGAAGATACTCGAAGTCGGAGCGGGTACAGGAGGCACCACACAAGGCATCTTGGAAGCAATCGGCAGCGCCTACGACTCGTACACATTTACCGACATCTCTACCGGATTTTTTGAAAAAGCGAATGAGCGGCTACAAGCGTCTGACAAGCCTATAATATTCAAAGCGCTCGATATCGAGAAGCCCGTTGTCGAACAGGGCTTCACAGAAGCTGGATACGATGTGATCATCGCCGTCAACGTGCTTCACGCCACCCGCGATCTGAAAAACACTCTTAATCACGTACGATCGCTGCTCAAGCCTGGCGGTTACCTCATTCTTGGTGAGATCACCAACACCGATGTTTTACGGCATCCTTTCATCATGGGTGGCCTTCCGGGTTGGTGGCTTGGTGATGACGAAGGACGACGCTTCCATCCGTGTGTCTCAGCATTGGAGTGGGATCAATTGCTCCTGGACACTAGATTTTCAGGCTTGGACTTGACGTTCGACGATCTGGAAGACAGTGGGAGACATTGCAATTCATTGCTTGTCAGCCGCGCGTTGGATCACACCTTCGAGCAGATTCGAGAACCTCTGACTGCTCTCAAACAGCTCGATGCGGACAGTCGGTTGCTGTTGATCGGTGGCGCGACTTTGCCAATCGCCAAAGCCCGGACGGAGATACAGAAGCTCTTGCCTCCAAGTTGGAGAGCTCGGACACAAGCTGTGAGTTCGATCGACGCAATTGAGGGCTGTCACCTGACACCTGGCATGGGCGTGATTTGTTTGCAAGAGTTAGACAGCCCGTTGTTCTCCAAGACAATGGACGAACATCGCTGGAAGAATTTGCAACTTGTTATGGCGAACGCCAGTCGAGTACTTTGGGTTGTAAAGAACCATCGCTCTGCTAGCCCCGAGTCTGCAATGTTCATGGGCATTGCTCGTACCCTTTCTCAAGAGCTGCCTCATCTCACGTTGCAAGTATTGGATCTGGAATCAAAAGAGAGCCCCGCCACGACAGCACGAACAGCTCTAGAATCATTCGTACGCCTTACTCTGACATCAAACCCGTCAGCACACCACGATAACGCATTCCTATGGATCCACGAACCGGAGATTGTGTCTGTGGATGGGCAACTCCTGGTCCCTCGCATCTTGCCCATAAAGTCTATGGACGATCGTTACAATGCGTCCAGGAGAGAGCTCAAAAGACCCGCAATGTTGGCTGACCAGGTTGTTGAAATCAAACCGTCCACAAGCGGCCTGGCTTTGGTTGAGGTGCAAGAACCCGGACTTTATTCCGAGAATGACCTTGTCAAAGTGCGAGTCAAGTACTCGATGCGTATCAACGAATCCGCTGCACCCAATTACTACTTGTCCGCGGGAACTATCGAGTCCTCTGGGGAGTCCGTCATGTGCCTGTCCTTGCTGAATCGTTCACACCTCCAGGTCTCAAGAAGCCAACTTCACTTCGTCGATGACGATCAGACAATTACGACCAAGGCAATCCTGGTGCTGGTAAAAAAGTTCTTGATGGCGCTTGCACTGGCAAGCGTCGTCCAAAGTCATCAGACCGCGATGGTTCACAATGCAGACGATCTTCTGGCCCGAGCAATTTCACAAACGATCGAAGGTCGGTTGCATTTCTCAGCGTCGAATGCTGTCGTGCGTCAAGACTGGATCGTCATCCACCCACGATCGTCCGCTCGTATAGCAAGACTTGATCTACCTGTTGACATCGCCGTGCTCTTGGACTGTTCCGAGCAGTCTCAAAGCAATGAAGTTCTGGTCCAGTGCGTTCCAGCTACCTGTCGAATATATGGTCTTGATAGCTCCTTAATCAGGAATGCTATTGATCAACTCGGTACGGCTCCATTGCTCACGAAAGCAAATGGCCTGGTTCAAGAATTCATTCGCCAGAATGACATCTCAGAACTGCAAGGCTTGAATCCCGATGTACAAGGGATCGCGAACATCAGCAAGAGCAATGTGAAAAGTCTCGGGCTGGTGGACTGGGAGGCAACAGCTCCTGTTGCACTCACCGTGCAACCTATAGAGCCACGCCACCTGCTCAGGCCCGATCGGACCTACCTCATGATTGGAATGACGGGCGCTATGGGGCTATCTCTCTGCCAGTGGGCAGTGCAGAACGGAGCTAGATCAATTGTTCTCACAAGCAGAAATCCTAGCGTGGACGAAGATTGGCTCATCGAGGCGCGCTCACTTGGGGCAGACGTACAGGTGTGGCCGATGAACATCGCCAGTAGAGCCGCAGTTGGGTCTGTCATCTCCCGAATCAACAGCACGATGCCTCAGCTTGCAGGGGTTTGTAACGGCGCCATGGTTCTCAATGACAAACTTTTCCTGGACATGGATGCGCAAGGAATGAATGCGGTCCTCGAGCCCAAATTTCGCGGGTCTCAAATCCTTGATGAGGTGTTAGGAGACCAGGACTTGGACTTCTTCATTCTCTTGTCGTCCTGTGCGATGCTCATCGGAAATCCCGGCCAAGCTAATTACCACGCCGCCAATTTGTACATGGCCAGCCTTGCTGCCAATAGACGGACCCGCGGGTTAGCTGCCTCCATCGTCCATCTTGGTTATATCGCCGATGTGGGGTATATCACTCGACAAGATCAGAGCATGCGAGAGCGACTCGAGAAACTTCTATTCCGCCCGCTCTGTGAGTCTGACATTCACAATGCATTTGCGGAAGCAATCAGAGCTAGCAGGCCGAACGGTCGTGATGACCCTTTCGATTTCGCAATGGGTATGGGCCCTTCTAGGGAATATGTCCCTCCGAACAAGCAACCGTACTATTTTGCAAACCCGCGGTTCGCCCACTTCAACCCTCCTGCAGTGGAGGTCCAAGACGGAGTCGGGCAGAAGACAACGGTGAAGAATGTCATACATCTGGTTCAAGAGGCGATATCCAAGGAAGAAGCATCCTTGGCGGTCCAGGTGGCGTTTTCCAACAAACTGGAGTCGATCATGCAGCTTCCGCCTGGAACCGTTGATGCCAAGTCGTCATTGATGGACGCAGGCATTGATTCACTCGTTGCAGTTGAGATACGCAACTGGTTCAAGATCGAACTCGGGGTCCAAATCCCCGTCGTCAAAATCTTGGGTGGTATCAGCATTGAAGAGCTTTGCGTTGAGGCCGCGAACAAAATGCTGGCAATCATTCTTGCCAATAAGCAGTCGACTCCGACAAATGATGAGGGACAGACCTCAGAGTCGGCGGTGGTCGTAGATGAGCACGACGATTCCATTTCAACTGACTCTAAGAGCGGTGTCGATGACACTGAACAGGATGGCTCAATTGGAAGTAGCCGCGATAACCTAGATGTTCTCACGCCTGCCACTGGCAGCGACATTGACAATCTGAGCGTGGCAGATGAAGATCTAGCTTCACTAGGAGTTGCCAAAGACGCGGGGGACATGCCACCCCCTGAGATCACTCGCGAAGGTCCCATCTCGTCAGCTCAGTCGAGAGTGTGGTTCCTTTCTGCCAACTCCGGCCACCCAACGAATTGCAACCTTACCTTCGTGTACAATGTCACTGGTCATCTGCAAATCCATCGCCTTCGACATGCGCTGAATGTGGTGATGACGGCCCATGATACATTGCACAGCTGTTTCTACATGCGGCCAGGTGACAATCAACTTGTACAAGGAGTCATGTCTGAACCTAGACATCTCTTTGTACAATTGGAGAAAGGGAACGCAACTGATGCCCTCCGAGAATTTAACAAGCTCAAGGCAAAGAAATGGAATTTGGAGAAGGGCCAGATGTTGGGGATGACTGTGATTCCGCGTGGTCAGCAGGAACACACCATCATTTTGGGATATCACCACATCATCATGGACGCTTTCAGTCTCTCCATTTTCTTCCGGGATCTACACACAGCATATCGGACTGGTACATTACAACGGAGGTCTATCGACTACATGGACTTGGTGGCCCAAGAACGATTGCTTTCGGAGGACAAATCTGAGGACCTCGACACTACAGCAAAACTTCAGTTCTGGAAGAACGAATTCACCGAACCAGTTGATATCCTCCCACTCATGCCAATGGCTCGACTTGCCAAACGTCCAGCAAGTCTAGGTCCTTTTACATCCTACAAATCCACGCGCGTAGAACAGACTCAATGGTCTGCCATTGTTAAGACCTGCCGTGAATTAGGCCTGACTCCATTTCACTTCACGCTTGCGACGTTTCAGGTTCTACTCGCGCGATACGCGAATATCGAAGACATTTGCATCGGTGTCGCAGATGCCAACCGTCTCAACGAGCGCTACACTGATATAATCGGATTTTTCATGAACATATTGCCGATCCGGTCCAAGCTCTCGAAGAGTACCAAATTCGCAGATCTCGCCCGTACTGCTTCCAAAAAAGTGCTGACAGGACTCGTCAATTCAGGAGTATCGCTCGACACGATTCTAGAGCTCTCGAATGCACCCAGGTCCCCGAGCTACACGCCGCTCTTCCAAGCTGCCATCAATTACCGGATGGGTGCAATCAGCGACATATCGCTAGGCGACTGTGAGCTGACCATGGTCGACGGCCAGGACGCCGAAAATCCGTTCGACATTAGTCTGGGTGTGTTGGAATCCAAAAATGGATCCGCTCTAATCGAGGTCATTTGCAATAGTGATCTGTATGACTCAGACGGCTGTGGAATCCTCTTGGATTCTTTCTTGCGCCTACTTCACGGCTTTGCAGCTCATCCTGAAATGCTTGCCAACGATGGTCAACTCCATGACCCAGCAGCATGGCAGAAAGCGCTGATATTAGGCAGAGGTCCCCGCATTGATTACAGTGCTACATGGCCTGCTACTTTGTCTGAGCGATTCGTCACCATTGCGAGGTCCCACGGAGAAAGCCTGGCCATCACTTGTGGAGGAAATGATATAACTTACAGTGAGCTACAGACACAGGTTCTCTCCATTGCTCAAACCCTCCTTGAAGCCGGTTGTGGTGATGGCTCATGTGTAGGCGTGCTATGTGAGCCTTCGCCCGACTTCATCGCAGCTATGTTGGCCATTCTGCATATTGGAGGGATCTACTGCCCACTGGATGTGAGCCTTCCTCACGAGCGGCACCGAGCTATACTTCAGTCGTCTCGCTTCATTGCTCTCATCCACCACTCTGCCACTTCTGATCGTGCTCTGGCTTTGATCTCATCAATGGCCAGCGAGGATCACCGAATGAATGTCATTGCATTGGATGGCGAGGCTCAACGACAAGCATCTGATGTTCCCATCCAAACCCCGACAGACTCCGCTTCTGTACTACTTTTCACGAGTGGCTCGACTGGAAAGCCGAAGGGCATTTTCTTGACCCAGAGCAACTTCATCAATCATATCTCTCTCAAGACCCAAGTACTCGGGCTGCAGAGCGAGACCATCCTGCAACAGAGCTCTATGGGATTTGATATGTCCATCATCCAGATCCTTTGTGCTCTGTTGAATGGTGGTCGAGTGCTCATTGTGCCGTCTGAATCCCGAAGAGACCCGGTCGAAATTGCTCGTTTGGTGTCGCAGGGAGCTGTCACCCTGACCATTGCGACTCCATCGGAATATAAGATGTGGCTTCGGTATGGTAGTGACGAGCATCTCAGAAACAAGGCCACGGCTTGGCGTCACGCCTGCCTTGGTGGCGAGCCCGTCACTGAACAGCTTTGTCGCGACTTTGCGCTGCTCGACCTCCCGCACCTTGGACTAACAAATTGTTATGGTCCGACCGAGATCACAGCTGCAGCCACCTTCCAATCGATACATATCAGCATGACCGGTGAGAAAGATCATCGGTCAATGACGAATGTTGGTAAGGCGTTGCCAAACTACTCAGTTCATATCGTTGACAGTAAGGGTCATTTCCTGCCCATCGGTATGCAAGGCGAGATCTGCATTGGCGGCGCTGGTGTCGCTCTGGGATATTGCGGTCTCCCAGAGCAGACGGCAGCGAAATTTATCGTGGATCCGACGACATCTACAGAGTGGCCCTTCAAGCGCTTGTACCGCACAGGAGACCAAGGACGTCTGCTCAAAGACGGATCTTTGCTCTTCATGGGCCGCCTGGACGGCAACACTCAGATCAAGTTAAATGGCGTCCGCATTGAGTTGGAGGAGGTCGAAGGCGCAATCTTAGCTGGCTCTGACGGCAAACTGTCGACAGTAGTTGCAGTGGCGCACAAAGACCGTCTGCTTGCGTACGCGACATTAACAGCTGGAATATCTTTGACAGAGACAGAAACAAAGCAGCTACTGATCTACGCATCTCTTCCCTTACCGACCACCATGCAACCCTCCAAGCTGATCATCATGGACACACTGCCGCTTACGTCCGCTGGGAAGATCGATCGGGAGGCAATTCAGCACCTCGCCACGTCGGGTCAACCGAACGGACCTATTTCCAGCAATGGAACAATAAACAAACTGACATTGCGTCAGGGACACCTCCGGCTACTCTGGGAGAAGGTTCTCGGTGGCCCAGATCGATCAATCGGTCCCGAAAGCGATTTCTTCCATGTTGGGGGAAACTCAATGGCCCTCATGCGCTTGCAAGGAGCCATAAGAGAGTCGATGGACGTTGCAGTCTCTACCAGAGATCTCTACCAGGCAAGCACGCTTGCTGAGATGACTGCTCGAATCCAGGTCCAGCAGGAGCAAGGCCAAGTCGACCAGCCACAGGATGAGATTTCATGGGACACCGAGACAGAAATTCCAGCTCTTGTTCGGGACGCTCTAAGGCAAGTTTCGACCCATCGTAACGATGTTAAAAGTCCCAAGAAACATGGGATTGAGATTCTCCTCACGGGCGCCACATCATTCCTTGGTGGAGCCATTCTAAGAGCTCTGGCTGAGCTCACAGGATCGAGGATAAGAAAGGTGCACTGCATTGCTGTGCTCCATGACGACAAGAGATTGATCCCCGCCTCCCAATCGGTCGCATACTATAATGGAAGCCTGATGTCACGCCGTCTGGGCCTTACGGTCCCCGAATATGAACATCTCCAATCGAACGTGGATTTGATAATTCATGCGGGCTCAAATGGTCACTGCCTAAACAACTATCATTCCCTTCGGACGGCCAATCTGAACTCCACGCACGAGCTGATCGCCATGGCTCTACCACGATCCACCCCTCTGCTCTACCTCTCCTCCAATCGCGTCACCCTTCTCTCCGGTAGCACTGCCTACCCTCCGGTATCTATTTCGCATTCTCCACCTCCAAAAGACGGAAGTGAAGGCTACATGGCATCCAAATGGGCCAGTGAAGTGTTCCTAGAGAACGTTAAAGCCGACAAATCATGTCCACAACTCCCAATCCAAATCAGTCGACCCTGCGTGGTCGTCGGCGCGGAAGCCCCTAACTCAGACGCCCTAAACGCCATCCTCCGTTACTCGCGCCAGATGCAGACAGTCCCCGTCTTCGACCGAGTTGAGGGATACTTTGATTTCAAAGACGTGCAAGAGGTCGCGCAGGAGGTAGTGAGCGACGCTCTGGCTCTGCTTGACGTGTCGACAGATTCGTCGGCGATTCGATTCCGTCATCACTCCGGCGGTGTCCGCACTTCTCTGGGAGAGTTTCGCCAGCGAATGGAACAGATCTATGAACTTCCTTTTGATGAATGCTCACTCCAGGACTGGATCGATCGGGCTTTGCAGGCCGGTATTGATCCCCTGATCACGGCCTACTTAGAGGGAATGGTGGAACGGGGCGAGGTTTTGCGTTTTCCATTCATGGGAGAGGAGGTTTCACAAGGGGAGGTCTCAACTGGGAACGGGAATGAAGCGTAGAGTGACTGCATCTTACTTTCCTTAGTAGTGATGAGTCTAGTTATCTAGGTAAATATTGCCTCAAAAGGCTGTTCTTATCAATTCTACAGACTTCTTTCGTTTGACCTATGTAGATCAATGTCATTCCGTCCACACGATTAGGAACTATTGTACCGCTCTACTGCTATAGAAAGCAAGTGCATCCATAGCCCTCGATTTGAAATGTCGATCGGACGATATCGGCGACCGTTGCCTCCCAGAAGCTTTCAAGACGAACATGCTAGCAGACTTATCGCATCGGTATAACTAACCGGATCAGTTTCAAGCTTTTCCAAGTGTACAAGGCCATACCAGACTAGTCTTGCCGTATGCTAAAGCTTAGGACAGAAGTACTTTACGATAAGCGTATATCACTTGGGGCATATCGCCCCAGGCAGCACAAAAGCGAATTCAAGGCAATAAGATAAATCGAGAAATCAACCGCGATAATAAATTTGAAATCGTGTTCTACACAACTCATAGACGAACGAGGACGACACACAACGATAATCCACATCAAGGCTGCTGCTACTGCTGCTGCCAACGCCTGGTGACAACAACCCAGCAAAGCCTTCAGATTTTGATCAACCGTACATCAGCAGCATCCCGATTCTGAAACCCTAGCTGCTTCTCGCCGACAGCCAGACTCTCCAACCGAAAACGCTCGACAACAGCCACGGTCGTCAACTTGAAAATCAGATCTGCGAGATGTTTGCCCAAGCAGCGACCCGAAGCTGCGCTCGTGCCATAGCGCATAAAGCCGCATCGCAACGCTTGAGGGGCCACTTCCAGGAACCGATCCGGGCGATATTGTGCGCCATCGTCTCCCCAGGTCACGGCTTCTTCGTTGAGGCGTCGATTGTCGATGATGACGGTTGTGTTGGCCGGGACGTGGTATCCGCCGATCTGTTTGGCTTCGCCTGTGGTTTCGGGCATGGAGAACCCTATTATCTAATCGTTAGCAAGGTCATTGACGTATTGCCAATGGATTTGAGGGATCTTGCGCCGACTTACAAAACGCCGGGCTCAGTCGCATGCTTTCCATGGTGACCCGGTGCAGGAGGGTGCCGCTGTTGGTCAGGTACTTGGAGAAATCTCCCTCGTCTTGTGACTTCCATTTACTGATCTCAGATCGAAGTTCGCTCTGGATTGACGGGTTCGCGGCGAGGTTTGTTATGGTCGTGCTCAAGACGGAGGCGCTGACATCGACGTTGGCAAAAAGCACCTCGCCAAGTGTTGACAGGAACTGGGAGGCTCATTGTGTCAGTGATTTAATCTATGGCCTGACGTGTGAAGTGGCCTGACGTGTGAAGTGAGAACGGCACTTACATCTTCCTCCGTCATATCCTTCAACGGATCGAAGCCGCGAGCGATTTCTTCAACCGGGCATTCCCACTTGCCCTATGAACTCGGGTCAGTCCGAATAAACACCAATGACAGCAGATGGAAATATGTACACCCCGAGCGTTGTGAATGACGGCTCGATTGAGACCCCGCCACTCCGACAGGAACTTGTCCACAGATTTGCGGACCGATGTCGGAAATAAGGTCCAATATCTTGATTCATGGCTCTTACAGGTCAGAATATCATGGACAGCTTGATCGTGCAAGTGGCTGAGCTCGAGCAACTGCCAATAGAGCTGTTATGGAGGTCAGTAATCTTGAACATAGCCACGAGAAAATGTTGGGGTCAGACGCAACTCGATCATCAAAAGCGTCTCGATATAGATGGTGCGCGACGAGCCGGAAAACTAGGAACTTGAATGCTGATCTAGCATTGAGATCGGTGGATGATGAGGTGGCCAGCTCTCCGACCCAGAGTAGAGTCTCTCGTTGAAAAATTCCTAGGCGGCGTACTGCTTCGTGAAACTTGAACGGGGGATCGAAATGCAGGCGGATCTTTCGCCACTCCTCGCCGTATCGAAGTCCTACGGCTGTTCCCATAAATCTGATTTCCTGTCAACGACAATGTCCAACGCACAAGATCGAGCTGTTAGAGACCACTCACCGGCCGAACAAGCCGCCAAAATTGAAGTTGGGCGGTTTTCCATGAACTGTTGCTCCACATCGATCGTCAGGTATCCATACTCCTCATAATGGCGCAACATGATCCAAACGCACCTTTGTAGTCGCTGCGGTAAAAGTCGTGAACGTGTGCTGGTTGACTAATGACCAGTTCCTGATATTTTCCACAGGTGATGAGGTACGGTTCGGTGCCTGCTAAGGCTCGACCCTGCTGCGAGATGTGTGCACTATAGTCCAGTAGCTCGCATCAACGTTTCAAAATCATCGATTATGTTCGAACCAAATCGATTCTAACCTTTGTAGCAGTTTGAGACGCAGATCAGTGATCTTGAGCTCTTTGATGAGTTTGCCCTGGTCGTTACAGAAGGCGTACCTCCGCTGAAGACCACGAACACTGATGCTAAGGACAACAAGCACAACACCGACGACTCCTAGGCCAAATACCAATGGCTGTGAAAGCAGTCTATCCAAGACTATGTTGCCGAAAATGGCGTCCATGATTGTATTGACGAATGTTGACAGTAAAAGTAAAGACCCGCCAGTTGTGACCGGATTTAGACTTTTGCACTCTGGATATGAAGACGAGCGACTGAGCGACGATATAAATTAAACAGACGTACGCCATTCGTCGGATATTCTCATCGGAGAAGGCAGAAAAATCACTCACAATCCGCGAGATATGAGTGTGTTAGATCTGGCCCGACGGTGTGTCCGACGACTCTGTCGATCAGCTCGGAGCAGAATTGCAGATCGGAGATAAGCTATTCGGCCCAGACACCCGCCCCGGAGCAAGACAATAGGTATTCGAGGAGATCCGTGGCATCTTGCAGCAAGCATGTCGTTATAAATGCGAAAACAACAAGTCTACGTTTAACATATTCTGTTGTTTGCCACCAACAGATTATTTCCGACAAACGAGCAAACGCAGCACCATGGAAGAGATCCGAACAATCGAGATTCTGCCCAAGGGCACGATTCTCATATCGGGAGGCGGGCCTGTAGGCCTCGTTCTGGCTTTGGTGTTGGCTCACCATGGCCAGGGTAGTGTTCTGATCGAGCAGAACATTGAAGCCACAAGGTACGGTACACCTTTCAAGCTTTGAAAGGGCCTGGCATTTCTCTTGCAGAGTGCTAACCACATTCAACAGGTACCCCAAGATGCATTTGGTCATTGCTAGAACCATGGAGATTTTCCGTCAACTAGGCATTGCAGATGAGCTACGATCCAAAGGTTCTAAACCCGATATGCAGTACATTGAAGATTTCATTCGCTAATGCACGTTTGTGTAGGTGTGGCAGAAGATGAGCCTTTCACAGTCCGTTTCTCAAGCGGCTTTGGTTCAGCTGGGTCTTTGTCCGCCTGGGATCTGCCCAGCGTTGAGGCGTTCAGGCAAAACATCTCGTTGAATAACGACGGCACGATGCCTTGTGAGCCTTGGGCACGTATTCCAAGCAATATCATGGAGCCATGGCTTCGAGAGAAATGCGATGCGAACCCACTGATCGATACTCGCTATGGGTGGGCCGTGGAAGGCCTAGTGGAGTACGAGGATACAGTCGAGGTTCATGTCCATGACCGAGCATCGAATATTCGCAAGACGATTCGCTCCCCATATGTTGTCGGATGCGATGGCGCATGGAGTGCGGTGCGGAAAGCTTTGGGCGCGGAGCTAGAAGGCGGGCCTATGTGAGTGCTGCTATGTATTCCGGTGGCCCATGTGCTCAAAGAGACAATAAGACTCCTTGAAAGCTAACTCCAACAACGATAGGCATCGAGCCGTGGCCTTGACCCATTTCAAGTCAAAGGATCTCGAGCGACTCCATCGCCAGGGCCGGTTTTGGCATACCTTTTTTCCCACGGACCCTACAACCAATAACGGCTCTGTCGGCGGCGCCATCATCGCGCAAGACGGAAAGGAGACCTGGACAGTCCACGATTATTTAGGCTCCGAATACAATGCAGACGATGTGACCGCCGAGAAGACAGTCGCCCGGGTCCTTGGCGGTATGGGCCCACCCTACCCGATTTCTATTGATGAAGTCACTGCAACCTCCATCTTCACGCCGACAGTAGCTCTCGCCAAAACGTGGAGCGGCAATCATCAGCGCGTCTTCCTTGCCGGAGATGCTTGTCATCAGACAATTCCTTCGGGCGGCTACGGAATGAATATGGGCCTTGCTGACGCTTGGGATCTTGGCTGGAAGCTCGCAGCCACTGTTCAAGGCTGGGGTGGCTCTCATTTGATGAAGACATACGAACAGGAACGTCGTCCTGTGGCAGCGCTGATGCAACACTGGAGCAAAATCCACATGATGAAACTCATGGGGCTTTCAACAGCTGTGAAATTGGATGCGGTCGTCATCGAATCCATGGATGAGCGCGGCATAGCCCTGCGTAAGGAAATCGATCAGTACATCCAGCAAAACGATGACCATAACCAGAGCTTCGGCGTTGAAATGGGATACCGCTACGAGTCGAGTCTGGCAGTACTGAACGAGCAGGTGGATGTTGAAAAGGCAGCACCACAGTTTGACTCACGCAACTACATCCCAACTACCTTTCCTGGTTCGCGGGTACCGCACGTGGCTTTGTCGGACGGCAGCGCCATTTCCGATGGATTCGGGAAAGGCTTCACCATGGTCGCGTTTCTGCAGAAAGAAGCAGTAGCAGCCGAAGACCAATTTCAGATGCCCATCTCACTGGCCAGTTTTGAAGAAGCAGCACGCCAGCACAGTATTCCTTTAAAGACACTTTGTTTGATGAATGAGACTCATGCGTCCCGAATTTGGGATGCTTGTCTTGTCCTCGTGCGGCCTGATGGATTTTCAGCGTGGCGCTCAGATAGTCTGGACAAGGTGCACAATGCATCACAAGTGTTGCTTCAAGCAACAGGTCATACCTCGCCTTTGTAAGCAAACCCTTTCGAGACAGAGACGATCGAACATGGAACAGAATAGAAATTGAATTAACCTCAGTTAATCACGATCTTCATTTCGCAACGTAAATCGTCCTGTGAACTTGCTCTATCAAATAGTTGGAACCAAAAAGGCCGAAAAGTCCAGGTAGTTGGAGTCCTGACTTCAGTCAGTAGTGCTATGTAAGAGGCGCATATTTGGTAATTTGTACCCACCATTGCGCCAAAATCCAGGCCGTCAAGAAGTTCATTATCGATCACGTCTTGCGACACTTCTCGGGGAGTGTTGGCGGCCCTGTAGGACTGTAGTACATCGTAACACTCCTTCAGGCTGTCTTTTGCAGTGTTCAGCACAGCAGGCAAAACGGGTTGGCCACGTTCCATGGCGTAGATCTGGGAAAGAATGCCAGCAAGAAAGATGTAGCGTTTCAACGTAGGATGGCCCAACTTTACGATCTGCAGTAGTTGTTCGTTGATGTGTTCCAAAAGTCGAATTATGGGCGCTCGCTGGCCGCGCGCCAGTTCAGCGAGAGGATCGAGGACCAATGTGTGGTTGAGACCAATCGAAGCAGATGACGGACCGGAACCCGTTTCCTCCAGCTGAGACACAACCTCCAAGCCCAAGACTGAAATTACGTCCAGGCTCAAAGGTCCGCGAAATGACCCTGTGCTCATCACCATCAACTTGGACAGATCGTCAAGAGAGTCTGCAGGTAGCCGAAGTCGCTCGGCATAAGTGGCGATAATCATTGCAGACTCCTGACAAACCCTCCGGGAAAAGTAGAAGCGGGGATCCTTTTGCGCTTGTAGCATGAAAGGCCGGTGCAGAACCAGAATATACCGACGAATCTGCATATCAAGGAAAGCGTGATGCATGCCTAGGAATTGCGACCAATGCGACCGACAATAGCTTGCAAGAGTACGGCAAACTGTCTGAAGTTTCGTAGCTAGCTCAATGGCCATTTCGTATGAGTGCTCTAATCGCTCGTTTTGGACCGCCCTGACAACTTCAAGTCGTAACGGCAGGGATTGACGCATGAGAATTTGTATCGACGATTCCGTATAGCTTGTCAACGGTTGTGGAGATGGAGACTCTTTGCTGGCTGAATCTAAATCAGCATCGCTGACATTAAGAGGCATATGATCGTCAAAGTCGTTTGAAGAAAGAAGCAAAGGGATGGAACTGTCCATGGAACCATGGATTACGAGCTCTAGGACTGTTGTCCAAAGCCTCCTTCGTATCTCGGCTTGAAAAGGAGACAGAGAAAACAGTTGTGGATCTCGGTGCAGGCCCATAGCCATAGCCACCCGAAGTAGACCACTTTCCGACAGCCACGGTGAACGGCCGACTAATGTTATCTGCCGCGAAACCAATAGAAGACAGAGAATTTGAATTCCATCAAGATTGTTGGTAGCTTTCTCTGACGGTCCAACCATCCAGTATTGAGCAGCTTGTATCCAAGTACGCCGCGCGCGCTGTAGAAATTTGTCGTCGTCGTTGCTGAAGACGCTTCCAATGGCCAACACCAAACCCAACTTGATTGCAAAGTTTGTAACTACAGGCTGCGGCTGGCTGAAGTATTGTTCGTATTCTGCCCAGAATGTGGGAATGTGAAAACAACGATAGATCAACTCGAAAGTCCGCATGTAGTGATTCACTAGTCGGTCACAGATGGAACGAGCCGGCATTGTACTCAGAAGTTGAGGAACGGGGTCATCCATCTGCGGTGCCTGCTCATTTTTCATCGTGAGTCGCAAGTTGCGTATCTCATTCACCGAATCGGCCAGCTCGGCCTTAGTATCCACAAAGGTCAATTCAACGTCCCTGTCTCCAAAATGGCTGACTCTGAACTATTGACACGTAAGCCAATGTGCAAATCAGTCAAGGTGTTCATTAGAAAGGAGCTTCAACGATACCTTCTCAGCAGTGTGCAGCCAGTGGCTTGAAGGAAACAGTTTTACCTTCTTCTGGTTGTGACGAAGTCGCGGGATGACAGATGGAATTGTTAGAGTCTTATCGCCCGTGACAGCTGAAGGCGCAGGACGAGCTTGGGAGAGCTCAGCAAGCCGCAGCCCGACGTGTTGGAGGCGATCAGACAATGCCAGCAGCGTGAGATGATTGTTGCTGCTGCTGCTGCTGAGGCTGTGCTGCGGGGGATCGACTTCTGGTACAACCGAGTGCTCAAGCTGCTGTACACGTCGCTCTACTCTCCGAATTTGCTCCGATTCATTCGTTGTTCGTTGCCTCTTTGCAGGGTGATCGATGTTGTTCTTTGGGGCAACGCTGAGCGAGCGAGGAACTTGTTGTTGGACAGTATTGCCCTCGCTTCCACGGTCTTCCAGGACGAGACTACGTTGCTGCTGATCTCCTCGATATATGCACGTCACCGGGTTTCTGGAGACTTGACAGGCTGAACATGGCGATTTGAGATCGCAACGTACTTTTCGGCGGCGGCACGGGTCGCAGGATTGCGCAGGTCGGCGGCTCCGACGAGCGGGTGAAGACGCTGACCGGGTACTGCCAAGGCTTTGGTCCTCAGCCATCTTGACGACAGTCCAAATTGCAGGTATTGAATGCGCGGTCAACGGACATCAATGATGTTGGAAAGGTCGGAGGGAAAGCGCGGGGTCGGCAAGCGGCTGAAGTGAGGTGGTCTGTTCCATCTTGCTCTCGGACTCGGACTCGGGGCTCGGATATAAAGCCCACTTCTAAACCAGTTCAACCTCCTCAATACATCAATACAGGTATTTTCATACAGCCCTTATTGGTGTCAACAGCTACCTTAGGCTACGAATCCCTTGCCGAGATTTGATGACGCAATATCGTCGCTTTCGATCGTCGAACATAGCCTTCGCTCCTAGGCGTCAATGCATCGTCTCCGGTCGATTTCCAAGTTGTGCTGATCCGTTGCGGGAATTTAGAAACGAGTGAAACGCGGATATATGAACAATAAAGAGTTGCAAGGCATGGATCAGTTTTTGGCATCTAACAGTCAAGCTAATGTTCTAAAGTTTCAGCTAATGTAATTCTCAGGTCGACTGTCGTTCATCGATACTAATTTCCTTCGCGTGCTTTGTGGAGGGCAACCAAAACACCAGTCTTGTTACTTGGTCCAATCCGCATAATAGCATGATATGGATTCGCATCTCTGGACTCGATTCGCTCGTAGCGCATTACCAAACGAGCCAACATGTATGCAGCCTCCGTCATGACCATCATCTGTGCTGGGCACCTTCTAGGACCACCGCTGAAAGGCACGAACTCCCAGAAGGGCTTCAGCTCAAGGAAGCGCTCAGGACGAAAATCGTCTGCGTCTTCACCCCAGTATTCCCGATTGCGCTGCTGTACTGTCTTGGTGACTTGGACCATGTCACCTTTGCGGACGAAGATGGGGTGCTGGCCGTCTTTGCCTCCGCCACGTGGGAGGGTCGTGTCGTTCATGCAGATACGGACTTGGGTGACGTTGTTTGGGTTTAGTCGCAGAGTCTCATCAAGACAAGCGTTGAGAAACTTCAAGCCTCTGAGAGTGGAGAAGCTGAGTTGACCAACCGCTTCGTCCTCGCCCCCTTGAACTGATGTCAGTACCTCCTCACGACATCTTGCCCACGCATCCGGGTGACGAGCCAAGTGCCAGAGGGCATTACTGATGAAGATCGAAGTTGTGTCGTTGTTCGGGACCAGCAGCAGGGCCAATTGAGACCGCAGGTCTTCGTAGTCGGAGTCGTGTGATGCCATGTACCATAGAAGGTCTTCCCGCTCAGGGCCTACTTTCTCTCCAGCAGCGATGCGTGCCTTGCGGGCTTCGATTTCTTTGTAAGTCGCTGTGATATGTGTGTCGACAAAGGCATGAACCTCGTATACTGCCTTGAGCCACCAGTCCCAGTTGAACCACTTGATCATGCGAACGACCTGCATACGCTGGCGGCTGCCACGAAGAACATCCAGCATGGCCCATGTGATTTTGGCCTTGTCTGGATGATTGAGGGCCCCCATAGGCTCGCCAAAGATGAAATCAGTGGTCAAATCCAGGAACTATGTTCGTATGAGCATTGTAATGAAACGTTCAAATTGCTTTTTTTTTTTTGGCAAGCGCGACTTACCCATCGCTGGAGCAGGGGCTGGATGTTGAATGTCTCTCCATCCGGCGGCAGTAGAGACAATAACGAGTCCACATACGGCCTGATCCGATCAGTGTTCGTATAAACATTGCGATTGAAGAACGGCTTGATGAGGAAACGGCTGAACACCCAGTCGTCCCCGTCAACGGTGTTGACACCTTTGTCTGCGAACGGGTGGAAAGCTTTCGTACTGCGTCGGAGAGGACTGATGCCAAAATCCTTCCAGTTGATCGCTGTCATCGCCTTAAGGTTCTCCGTCTCGGTGGTGTAAATTTGGCGTTTTCCGAGAAAACGGATCTTGAATGTGCTCGGTTGGCCTTCATGCATAGCTGCCAGCCATGGGATAAAAGTGTCTCCACGGAGGGCCTTCATTTGGCTCAAGGCGAGATCGAGGCCGAAAATGCGATCCCATTGAGGATAGGATGGGATAACGCCGCAGCCATGGGCTTTGCGTCCTTGGTATTCTTTGAATCGCCCCCACAGTATATTGAGGAATAGGGCCAGTAACCCAGAGGCGACGGCCAGAGACCAAAGGTTGTCGACAATTATCATCGTGTGGGCAGGTTTGTTAATGATAAAAACTGTCGCCAGCAACTTTTGAGGAATGAATTTCACATCTTTGATGCGATGAAACCGAGGCGCATTTAAAGCATAGAGGCGCAAAAGACCTCGTTAGACGACTCGGAGGTCTCTTTCGATGAAGTGTGCAGCTCCGTGAGGTACTCATGGTCAGATATTATCCCCGATACTCCATTCTCGAATCTCGGACTTAAATTCGGGACCTTAACGCAACCATAGCTGAATGTAATATCTATCGGGTTGCTCGGATAAATAACTGTGTCTATGTAGTATTTATGATATACTAACAATAAGTAAGTTACTTATTATTAGTATATTATATCTATCCATGGATATTAATTCTGATTATAGTATTACCTATATAGGTATTGTAGATATCTATATATTCTAATTGGTACGATTGGCGTCTTATAGATTTACTGTCTTATTCTTACTAATAAGTAGAGAGAATCAGCTAGATCAAATTATAAGGTGTCTTTAAGTATTTAATATATATAGATATGATCTATGAATTGTTTTGACAAGCACGTATCGAAGAGGTAATGATCTTAATAGTCATGAAATCAATTTCCGGACTCTCTAATTCTATATATATCGTCTGTTCTCCCCTCCCATGTGTTTTCCCACCAGCGGCTTCGAAACTATCCGCCCGTCGGAGGTGCTTGACGAGGAACGGTTTGAGCAGTTCAAATAAGGACAATATTACCCTGCTAATATTGGCGACGTGCTCAGTAATCAATACCAGATTATTAGTAAACTTGGTTTTGGGCCAACTTCTACAGTATGGCTTGCTCGTGACCTTGAGTAAGTCAATCAGATCTGCTTCTTTTATCTGAACAATGATTCACTGGTGAAAACAGAGGTCATCGATATGTGACGCTCAAAATCTACACGCGCGATGAAGGTAATCAGGAAGAGTTTCAGCACTATAAGCAACCCAATCAGGGGAATCCACGGCACCCTGGCCGTGCTCATATCAGGGGCACTGGATATCTTCACAATTCCCCGTCCCGGGGGTGACCATCCGTGTCTTGTCCAGAAACTGAGGTGGGAAAGCTACAGGGATTTGCTATATCATAATCCAAATCATCAATTTAGTGAAGACCTACTCAAAGCTGGTCTTATGCAAATATTTATTGCACTTGACTATCTGCACACTGAATGCAAGCTTGTCCACACTGGTAAGATGTATCAGTATGGGTTTGTCATAAACTGTTCCTGATCCGCAAACTATAGACATCAAAAGCGACAATATTCTCCAAGAAATACAGCACAATTCAATCCTGGAGAGTTTTGCCCAAGCTGCGTTGAAGAACCCTTCACCTCGCAAAATTATCAATGGTATGCCTGTATATGCTTCAAGATGTTTGACTTGCTGAAGGTGTTTGGCCGAGCGGTGTTGAGTGATTTTAGCTCTGCCGTACGAGGAGATCAGAGGAGGAATCACGATGCGTAGCTAAATGTTTATAGGTCGCCAGAAGTGATGCTGAAAATAGATTAGAGTTATCAGGTCGATATATAGAATGTTAGTGTTATGGTATGTTCTGCCTGTTCAATCTCAATATCGTTTACTAACCAGACGGGAATAACAGGTGTGGGATTTGTTTGAGGGGAAGCATCTTTTCTACGGAAATGACCCTGATGACAAAGGGTATTCAACCCGGGCGCATCTTACAGAAGAAGTGAGGATTTTCAGGGCCAGCTTCTTTAGATTTGCTGCAGCGTGGGAAACGGGGCCATGAATTTTTTACAAACGATGGTGAGGGCCTCCCTCGCATAGCGGCCCAGGTCGCACCACGTCTTTGAGGCAGTGTCAGCATTCGGGTTACTCTTCAGCTCACCCAGAACTAGAACATGAGACCAGTGATACTGCGTACGATCGTCTGCACCAGCGTTGCACACAAGGCCAACGTCCAAATTTCCTCTTCGGATCTGGCCTTATCGGCGGGCCTCTATTTGATCGCTATGGAGCCAAATTGAGCCATCTACGAAATATATAATCCGGTTGGCTCTTGCTAACCAACGACAGGTCATCTGGGCCCCTGCCGTGCTGGTCATCTTCAGCGTCATGATGACCAGCCTCTGTACGAAATACTACCAATTCTTCCTCGCTCAAGGGATCCTCGGCGGCCTTAGCATGGGCATGTCGCTCGCTCCTGCGCTCTCCTCCACAGCGCAGTATTTTCAGAAAAAGCGCGCCGCAGCAATGGGCATCACCATCGCCGGGTCATCTCTCGGCGGCGTAATCTTCCCCATCGCCCTAGACCACATGCTCTACTCCTCTTTAGGCTTTGCATGGGCCGTCCGCATCGTCGGCTTCGTCATTCTCGGCGTCATGTCCTTCGCAGTGTTGGGGATCCGCGCGCGCCTCCCACCCAAGAGACAAAGATTTCTCAAGGACGAGGCCTTCGAGAAACCAAAGTACGTCGCGACTCTGACCGCGGTCTTCTTCCTCAACGTCGGTATCTTCACTCCCTTCTTCTACCTCCCGCTATACGGTGAATTCCATGGCATGAGCACCCAGCCTAGCCTTCTACCTCATCGCAATCCAAACGCATCCTCCTTCTTCGGGTCGCTTAGTCCCTGGCGTCATCGCAGACAAAATCGGGCCGTACAACATGCTCTCGACCGTAAGCATTATCACCGCCATCATGACCTTCTGCTGGATCCGCATGACCACCAACGCGAGCATCATCGTCTTTTCCGTGCTCTACGGCTTCTTCTCCGGCGGCATCATCGGCATCACCCCCGCCGCAATTGCCAACTGCGCCGGGCATCCTCAGGAAATCGGCACCTACATTGGAACGGGGATGGCTGTTATGTCGGTTGCCACGCTTATTGGCCCACCGATTAACGGGCGCTGCTTAATGACTACGGTGGCTTGGCTTCCTCCAGGTCCAGAACTCTAGTGCGGCTGTGATGATGTTTGGGGGTGTTCTGGCCTTTGTGGCGAAGATGGTGGGTGGAAAGAAGGCTTTGGCTAAGGAATAAGGATAAGCTGATTATTTAACGATCGGTTCTTGTCTAATCAAATTAAAGGCAAAGTGGCTGGGGTTAAACTTGGGTATCGCATTTAGGAATACATAAACTACCTAGTACCTCTCTTACGTATCTGTAATTAGATTGGTTGACCCAATTGGCAAATCCATGTCCCATCCACCCTACCTGCACTTTGGATTGGATCAGGCTTACCTAGACCCAACCCATGTGGATATGGGTTAACCCATTAGGTTCTAGGTACATGTGATCTGAGGCAGTAAGGCCTCAGAACTAATAGGCTTATCCAACTATAAGGGGTATATCTTTATATCTATGGTTAGAAAATAATCATACCTATTTATATATAAGTATTATCCACAATCTAATCCACAAAGGTTGGATCAAATATAGTGCGGATCAGTCCATATCCAGTCCACAACCAGCCTATTTGTAATATAAAGTCTTGGCTAGACTGTGACAGGACCAGATCATTCAAGTTAGCAGGGGTCAAACAACGGCGCAACACTAGGCTGTCTATCCCTGCAATGCTCTCTCTCTTTTCTTTTTTCCCTTTCCTTTCTTTCCTTTTCCAACTCTTTCTCTCTGTCTGTCTGTCTCTCGGTTCCTTGTAAAGATTCCACATTGCATTCACCATGGCGGGTTCCATCCAAAAAAGTATGATGTTGATGCAGAAGAGTGAGCCTTCCGTTGTATCGTCCGCTCCCTTCTTCGTTATGTAACAGTCCCCAGCTTCGCCTAAGCTCGCTGTACGCCGCGCCGCAGTAGCATTCCCGTCTAATACATTTACGCCAATCATCGGTCTGGCGCGACAACAACACATGCGGTATGACATGCGGTAGATTTTCAGCGGAGATATGTATTAATCAACCTAACTCTCCCTCCAGGATGCAGACCACGAAGCCCGTCACGACACCACTGAGAGTGATCAAGCCGGAATCCGCCCAAGAAGAACTCGCCCGCCAACGTCTCCGGCGGCCCGTGGCGCCCCATCTGTCCATCTATAAATGGCAGGTCCACTCGGTCAGCTCCGCCCTGGAGCGAAACACGGGCCTTCTCCTCGCCGGCAGTCTGTATCTCTTCGGCACCTCCTACCTGGTGGCTCCCTGGCTCGGTTTGGATCTGTCCTCGGCCGCCCTCGTCGCGGCCTTTGGCTCTTTGCCGGTCGTCGCCAAGGTTCTCATCAAGTTGGCCGTCGCCTGGCCCTTCACCTTCCATCTCTTTAATGGCATCCGATATGTTGTCTCCTCCACTGGATACACGCTGAATAGTAGGTCTCAGTTCATCAAGATCGCATGGGCGGTCGTCGGCTCATCGGCGTTGGCTGCCGTCGGCCTGGTGGCTTATGTATAAGGGAGGGGCCATGCATGGGAATATTCACTCCCTACGTTCGTTTTCAACGAAGAGAGTAGTCATTCAGTACATGTATTCAAAGAGAGATGCCCATGTAGATCAGATAGGGTATTCATCTAATTGTATTCTGGTTACTGAGTGTACATACAAGATGCAAATCAAAAATGAACTGATTCGACAGACCAGATAGACGAAACGCAAATCAATTGATACAAAAGTACAAACTCTCAAAGGGACTCCGTCTCCCCCATAAAAGGAAACAGAATCGTCTCCCCCTTCATCGTCATCGCCTCCAAGTACCCCGTAATCAGTGGATCGATACCAGCCTGCAATGCGCGCTCAATCCACTCAGCCATAGAAACCTCCTCAAACGGGCACTCGAACAATGTCTCCATTCGGCCCCTGAAGTCCTTCATGGACACTTTGTGCCCGCTGGAGTGGTGCACGAATCGTGCGGCAGGCTTGCTCCCCCTTGCTTCAGCAGTAGGCAGAGCGTCCGCAGCGATCGCCCCGGCTACCCGGTGGACGTCGTCGAAATCAAGATATCCTTCAAAGTTTTCGAAACGCGGAACACAGCGCGTGAGCTTGGAGTACTTCAGAAGAGCGTTCAGGGCGTCCTTGTTGGGCGCCTCGTCTCCGATGACCGCGCACGGACGATGGATTGTAACGGGGAGTCCCAGTTCCAGTGCGGCGGCTGATTCAAGGAGCCGTTCACAGGCCCATTTGCTGGCGGTCTGCTGTCGTCAACGTGATCTCCAAGAGAGACGATATGAGCCACGAGGAACGGCGAACCGGAACCCAAGCCAGACAGCTTCAGACACCAGATCATGTCCAGTGACTGCGAAGGTTTCTGCGTTCTCGAGATCCCAAACTCGACGGCGCAAACGCTCGTATTCCTTTATGACGGTCTGCTCGTTTCCGGAAAGAATAGATTTGATGGACCTGCACGGCGACAACGGTGTTCAAGTTGACCTTGATGGCTGTCCTTGAACGGTACAGTCTCCATTCAGGGCAGGATGGGCCAGAAATCGAACTGAGATATATGAACCAGAAGGGATGAAATGTGTTCGAGCCGTGGCCGTCATAGACGCTAAAGTTCTTAGTTCGAGTATTTGCATATTTCTATGGGTAGCCCGTCCGTCACCAATGGGATCTTACGGGCGTAAAGCACTTTTAGGGGTGAGAATGTAATTTTCTCTTAGTATACACAATGAATTTCATCCAAACCGTATAACATATGCAACGCCGTTGAAGAAAACGTCCGCAAACATCAGACACCTTATCTCTGCAAATGCAAGTTCACAACCTCCTGCCCAGTAATCGGATTGGTTGGCGGTTACTGCGAAGTCTGCCCATTATTCTTGCTTTGGGCACCGGCACTTTGTTGAAACAAACAGCAGTCAGAGCCAAGTTCGGTTAAGCAAAACGGTCATCAGGGAGGAAAGCAAACAGTGACTCACTGGTAGATCTTTTTGCAGACAAAATACGTAGCCGTTCCGACAAGGGCGACTTTGAGCAGACCTCCTATGCCGCCAGTGCGAGGGTTGAGACCACCGCGCATGTAGTTCTGGCGAAAGAACCGACGGCCTCGACCAGCGAAAGAGGGGGCTGGGTCGTAGTAGGTGTAAGGGGAATGCATTTGGGATCTTCTTGAGATGTTGTTGGAAAGAATATTTCTGCAGTAGGGAAGTGCAGTAGTAGCGAAAAGAGGAGAGGCGAGAGGACTGCCTGGAGTGAGCAATATATCTGTCCTAGCTTCGGTGTTATTGAGCAAGCCCGGCCCCGAGGCCGAAGACCGACCCCGAGGCCGAAGACCGACCCCGATGTCATAGCCGCCACATGCTTATGCAGGCCACACGGCGGTAAGATTCAGTGTGATTTGTTTCCATAACTTACCTTCTGACCCCCCGTTACCGCACCTGAGTGCATTATATCCTTGTCCGAGAAGGGCTGGGTTGTTACCGCGGAGTACCTATCTACAATGCCCTTACGAACGGCACGACTGCTCGTCCTATGGTATCTGACTGGAGTCACGTTTGAACTCGGTTAGCTGAATGACGTAAAATGCATCTATGAATATCTCAGCTGCATCACGTTGAAGCATCGACAGAGGACTTGCACGAACGGAGTTAGGACGCCGGACTAGCGTTCCATAGAGTGTGGCTTAGTCGCTCACCTTTGGATCGGTTTTGGGCAGCTACGTATAGAGCAGTTCATCATGCAACAACCATAATCTTCCAGGTCATGAGACTGATTCTCATCTGTATCATCTGTCGGATCTTCATAGCTGCTCTGAAGAATAAGGTCCACGGCCAACATATGTGTGCTGTTCTCATTTTCTGGGACCCCACCTCCCCTATAGTCTACTCACAGGTGTTTGCCTGCTACAGCTAGATGCAAAACGCCCAGATTGTCGGTTAGTATCGATATGATTAAAGCTGTTTGCAGAAACGGCGCAAATATTCATAATCCTAAAGCCTTTCTGAAACCCTTGTATAAAGTACACTAGACCACTTTTGGCGAATTGGTTCCGAAAAAGCCTTCTACAGCTTTACAGGTCTCTTATACTGCATACAAGGCTGTATCTTGTCTCATTAAGATTATATAATCTGAACCCCGCTCACGGGCGACGCGGCGACTCCACGGGCGCTTATTGCAGAACATACGGGGTACCCAAAGGTCCTGAGTCCAAACCGTCGATCTTGATCAGTCCCAAATTCGAGTGTCGTCTAGCTACTATAGCATATTTAGGTACAAGCTTGTTCGAGATATGTTCAAACTCTCTCCCTCAGCTGCGCAAGCTGCCAACCAGTCTTGCCGTCCAGAAGGCCGTGATGGCTTCGAGATCGCTATAATCTGCGCATTAACTATCGAGCGCGATCCCATCGAGGCGCTTTTGGACGAGGAGTATGAGACTGATGCTTTCTCTTATGGGAAAGCTGATGGAGATCTTAATAGCTATACCACAGGTCGATTAGCCAACCATCATGTGGTCATTGTGTACATGCCAGAAGTCGGCATAACTAGCGCTGCAGCAGTTGTTGCCAATCTCCGATCCAGTTTTAGGAGGATCAAGATTGGCATCCTCGCGGGTATATGTGGCGGTGTTCCGAAAACGTCAAGCGAAGCAGAGATCGTCTTGGGGGATGTCATTATCAGCACATCAGTAATTCAATTCGACAATGGCAAGCAGTATCCCAATAAATTTATCCGAAAGCACACTCTTGGGCGATCGAATCGCGAAATTGGTTCGTTTGCTGGGAAGCTCTCAAGCACTCGCCGTCGAACAAGAATCAGAGATAAGATTAGTCATTTCTCTTCCCAGCTATGGGACAAAGACGAATTCCGCGACTCAAGTTACCCTGGACCAATGAGCGATATTCTGTACCCAGCTGAATATCGTCATAAACACCGACAGCAGCCATGCGGCGTGTGCGATGGCTGTGTCAATCAGAATGATGAAGTTTGTGAAATAGCTCTGCGCAGCACTTGCAGAGACTTAGGTTGTGGCATTGAGACACAGATAACACGCGACCGTATACAGGCAGCAAAGGGTATTGCTCCCAACGGAAGCCGGACAACTGAGGCAGATATTCAAGAGGCGAGAAAGCCTCGTATTCACTTTGGTCCGATAGCGTGCAGTAACCAAGTGATGAAGAGCGCCCAACACCGGGACAAAATAGCCGGAGAAGAGAAAGTGATTGCTTTTGAGATGGAGGGTGCTGGTACATGGGATTATGTACCAACCCTTGTGATCAAGAGCGTGGCTGATTATGCAGACTGTCACAAATCAAAGGAATGGCAAGGATATGCAGCAATCACGGCAGCGGCATGTACAAAGGCGGTCCTGGCCGAATGGAGAAGTACGGACTCGGTCACCGAATATCGCACAACTGAGACCCTTATCGCGTTTGAGAGACTTGATCCAGTCAATCACCAGGAAACACGAACTTCCCGGGAGAGTGTGGCCCATGGACCCGGATATTACATGTAAGTTCATTACCACATTTGTGGCATATCTGACCGATTCCAACTCCCAGTTCTACCAAAGACGCAGATGCTTCGTTTCAAGAAATTCAAGGTAGAAGCCGGGCAGCGATTAGTCAGTGCAATGAGGAGATACAGAGGAGTCAACGACAACGTGAGAGTCAATCAACACAGATGAGGAACCTCGATGTTGAGATTACAACCATTGGTCAAGCCTTTTTCGTACTCCTCGGCGCTGTGTCTCCAGTGGGCAGCCTTCTTGTTACTGCATTCATGAAGTACATGAAGGTTCTCTTAGGCTCAAGTAGGATCCTGGGCGCGATGACCGAGGCGACAGAATCCTCTTTGCAGTCACTCCTAGTCTCTGAGGGAGAGGCTGAAGTTGTCAAGGAGGCTGTTATTGAAGAGGTTGGATGGCTAGAAAAAGTGGCAATGCTGGATCACCACAATTTCGAAATTGACAATTCCCTCTCCCAAGGAGTTTTCGAATATTCGCTCCTCGAGGGTGTGTCTATCAGAAAAGAAGCTGATGATTCAGATATTTCGAGTCGCCAGGCCCAGGGCAAGGCTCTCCATGGCACGGATACGCAAGCCAGCCGAGACGACAGCAACTTAATCCACATTTCGGCGAGAAAACTGTCACATCAAGAGGGCCACGTTGCTTTCAGGTCAGACCAAACATCTGTGCAGCCCAGGTTTGACCCCAAGGCAAACCAGGACACGCATGATGAGACCAAGACGATTCCACATTGTGATAAAATCGCCATTCTTCAAGAGGCGCACAGCCAGCTAGCGGGGTGCCTAGAGCAGATAAAAGTCGAGATTGCAGCTAATGAACATGCTCTGGAAGCCGAGAAGAGGAGGATTTTAGAGCTAGAGAGGGAGGTTGAAAGACTCAACAAAGAAAGAAACAGCCGTTGGTTCAACTGGTGTGTGATTCTGTAACATCACAACGGCCTGACTTTATGATACAGACAGGACTGCTGGGCATTTATGGGCAGTCATAGGCAAGCACACGCGGCTAGGGGACAGCAGTAATAATAGTGAGCCCCTGCCCACGCAAGCACTGAGATTGGAAACAGTCTGTGGGGGACATAACATAGTACAGCATCGATACAACACCATGACCAGCTCTCGGGCTGTTTAAGCACCATCTACCGGCCTACAAGAAGGTGCCCTTGCTCTTCTATTCTTTATATATACCTCTTTCCTTTGTTTGCAAAGTCCGAGTTGTTAACTTTAGTTACTTTTATAATGCCTTAGGTGTATCTAGGCTTCTTAGGAGAATGTTAGCTTATAGGAGGCGACTCTCCCGGCATAGCAGCCCCTGGAGAAGGGCCGCTGTATGGGTATAGAAACTACTACTACTACTGTTGTTGTTGTCCTCGTTGCTCTGGTGTTTTGGCTAGATGCTGTAGCTAGAAGAAGAGCGTGATGGCAATATAAGAGACGGCCAGTTTGCTTGTCGATGTCATCGTGCTGATGACTAACCTGCACAAAGCTTGCAAGAGAACTGAGGCTGCATGCTTGACTTATGTTTTCTCGAAGAAGAGCGTCCGGCAATGTCTAGAATGGTCGCAGGCATAATTTCGCATCATAGCTTGAGATATGATAATTTCCATGTACCCCTCGCACCTAACACGCGGGGAAAAAAGAATAACCGCCACATGACTGAGGTCTAGAATACAATTGGGCAACCGGTTTCAATTCACGGTTGCTTGGAGCCATGCGATGCTTAGTTCGGTACTAGACCTTTCCGTTTGCGAGACAGGTTTACATGGCCAAAGCCAGAAAATTAGATGACACGGCAGTTCCAAATTGGTACAGTTATTATATAATGCGAAGTGAGATGTGATTATGATCCTTGATCATCTGAAACACAGAATTTAGATATGGAAGCCCATATGAACTGTGCAACGAACGACGCCGACAGTCAGGTCAGACCTTCTCAGGACACAAAGTGCTCATAGAGCATCCCCTTTCCAACTCCTTCAATAGCTGCCCCAGATCCTGGGTATTTTGAATTTTATGATCTAACCATTGCCTCCAGACCGGCTCGGCTGCGACTTTCTCCATCCAGCTCGACCATTTCTGGACAGTGCTAATTGCGTCCTCCCGGGAGACACGAAACCATTCCTTGTGCTTGCGCAGGCAAGCATGACAGTCCACCGTTACTTGGTGCTCTCGAAGCTGCGCGTGGCACAAGGCCTCGACTAGTTTAGGGTTTTTGATTGTATTGCTTATGTTTGTCGGGATAGGATAAATTCCTATCGGCTTCCTGTTGCAGATGAAGGCAATTTCTTCGAATCTCTTCTGAACCGTGAAGCTTGTGTAACCGATCTTCACGAAGCCTGGGTTTCCCTCAACTTCATACGCATAAACATGTCCCTCCGACGGTCCTGACTTGGGCTTCAACGCTGTCGAAATACATTTGACAGAAATTGGACTACCTTGGTCGACATGCCTGAATAGAGATTTGTCATACCCTGTATGCCAGACGGGTCAGTGAAATGCCTCCCTAGGGAATTTAGCAGATTATTATCACCTCTCTGCTCAATATTTGGAAGGTCGTAGATGTCATCTCCAATAAGATGCTTGGGATAGACAATCTTTATTGCGGCTGGGTCTGTTGAAATTGACTCGGCTAATTTGTTCGAAGCGCGGATTGCTTGAATTTGAGATATCCAATTCTTGACGTGCGTTGGCATTTCGTGTTCTCTATGAAGAGGGCAGAAGACGTATTGCCCTAGTGCTTCAGCGTACGCCTGAAGTTTGGTATCGTTGGAATACACATCCAGCGCGATTATCTTCTTTGTTATTACTAATTAGCTTAAGAGTATCTTGAAGCTATTAACTATCTTTCTCTTTATTAGGGCTTACTAGTCCTTATTTAAAAGATATTATGTTGAACTTGACTTTATGAATTTGGGTCATGATGGAAAGAAAGGTAAAACAATCAAAATTAACTTTTATCCATTCATCCTTCTCCTGAGTTCTGCTAAGCACCCATTCCTACTTGGCCAGACTGATCCGTCAGTTACCCTTTGGCGAATGTGCATCTTCCTCATTTTCATCAACAGTATGCATAGCCTGGTTTGGAGGGCTGCGGCGTCCCACTCCTCTCCCTGCCCCCCTGCCACAACCACCACGGACGACGCCGCACCCTCTGCCGCGTTGGGCCGAACGGGGAAGCATTTCATCTTCTTCATTGATTGTCTCTCGACGAACAGCACGTCTTAAAACACGTCCACCACGGGGGTTTCCCCCTCTTCCTCTTCCTCTGCCCTGTGGTGTACGGGGGCGATTAACAGGAACTTCTGGTAAGACACTTGCGGATGGCGAAAATGACATATCCTCTGACTCTTGTTGAGCATCTGCTTCATGATATGTCCCCTCAAGCGCAGTAGGAACAGTGGCAGAGTCAGGTTGGCCTGGATTTCTGACAGCTAATGCGCCATCAGGACTTGCTGTTGCTTGCCCAAGGTTGCCAGAGGCCAGGAGAGCCAGACCACTGCCGCCGATCAGAGCCTTTTTAAGAGAAATACCAGGTTTCGCTACTCTTGGCTGCTCATCATGATGATTGGAAGAGGGCATTATTGACGTAGATTGTAGTACTTCCCTCGCGGAAAGCAAGACTGGGCCGGTTCTTTTTCGAGAGTGGATCTTGGTTAGACCTTGGGGTTTGTTTTTAATTGCTAAGAGAAGAGAGTTGAGAAGTGCCAAGTGGATGAAAGTTATGGGTAATTGATTTTAGATATAAATATATCTCGACCTACACATCTTTTTAGATGATCAAATCAAGGAGGTCATACTACCAGGGTACATCTAGACTGTAGATCGATGAGAGCGGTGCGTCATATCCTTCTACTATGAGGGAAGCTGATCACAGGCTGAGGATTTAGCGCATGGTTACATCATCCATAAGTGATTATACATACCGCAAACGGAATTTTCAGACTGATTACTTAGCCTGATAATGCTATAGATTTGCCTAGAACAACAGGAGTATGATAATTATTCTGCCAATAATATTTAAGTCCAAAATCACCTTGTAGTGAACTATGTAATCTCCTTTGAGGCACCTTTAATAACCTTTCTGATACTGTATGTTAACTAAACCCTAAATCCTAATGACAAGTAGCTGTTAGGACACCAACACAGCCTGCACTAGTGCAGGGCGGGTATGACAGATTACTAATTGATCCCAGAGGGATCATTGAGCATGCTAGAGAAATGCATAATCAAGATAGGATTCTACATGAAAATACTTTAGAAGTTTAGTAGTACATAACTGATAAACTGAACAGCTCAACAGCCTAATGAACATCATATTATCATGTGACTGCTACGCTAGAAAATAGAGATTACTAAGGTAAGGGCCCTAAGGGGTATAATATCTACTCTATAATCCACTTCCTTAGTACTCTAGGCGTAGCAATAGGAGTTATGAGTAGAGTTACATTCAGTAATCAGTCTGAGTTTGGGCGAGTTGAACTCAAGTTTGAACTGAACTGCTGCAATTTTGAGTCTAAATTAGAAATCAGAACCAATAATATTACCCTGGGCTTTTAAGTTAATTATATAGCTAAGCTAGTAGCAGCCTAATAGCCTTTACACCTCCACTATGCCTACTCCTAGTAATTAACAGTTACTACTAAGATAGTTAGTTATAGTAATAATATAGGACCCAGAATTTTATAATTATAGTCCTCTTACAAAGTTAAATCGTTAGGGGGAACAGTACCAACTACCAACTAGTAGAGTTTAGTAAACTGTAAACCTAAAGAAAATATTAATCTAAGTAGATAGCATCCTACTATTCTACTACTCCACACCTACTAGAGTTTATAGTATCTTCTTATAATTTACATATATTTCACAAGGAGCATAAGGACATGGGAAAAAAGTTGTATCAGACCAGCAAACTCTTCATCTGCTAGGTCATCCGAAGGGCGTCGGTCAGGATCTAGTAAATTTAGTAATAGTTCTGGAAATGGGGTGTATTGTTAACAATAATTGTATGGTAAATGTATATACGCGGAATGCACAAGAATGAAGGTCTGATTCTTCCAAGCTAGCTATCTAACCTAGTATTTATATATGATTAATGCCATTTCGGTAAGGACAGTATAAAACGACGTAAAGTCTCTGACTCTCTGCAATTGGCGTGTTGAAACCATAGCGGAATCGAGCAATCCGATTGGTTAAACCGGAGAGAATCTACACTACTCTGATAGCGGTCAGTATGGTTGACAGATATAAATACACAGGCTGTGTAGGCGATACCAAGAATTTTGTTTTAAATAGGGCCCCATCTGTCCCGCTTTCTCTGCGACCTCTTTCTCATTTATGGTCTCGTCATGGATCCCTTCTCAACATTCCCACGTGAGGTAATAGTGTCCATCCTTGAATTTTGTGCCGACTTTGCTAGCTTAGATGGCTTGCTCAGAGCGTCCGCCCAAGCGGATCAAGTGTTTGGCGTGAATATGCGTAACCACCCATTTGAACCTAAACCAGGGATACCATCTATACCGGTGGTTGCTCCACTATAATCCTCCATGTCATACAATCCCGATAGAAGCTTCCACCCGCCTTCCAATAGTCATGTCCATTCGCAGCCGTGTCACCTAGTTTATATGTCAGTATTGTCTACCAAGGCCCGGGAAGCTACAAAGCAGGGAGACCTACAGTTGTTGATAACCGTGCTGAATCGTTCTATACATGTTTGAACCCCCTTTTCGCGTTCTTCTCCTCTTCCATCCATAACTGTGGGTGGGAGGCAGTTGGGTTCGCCTGAATATTCGATTTCGTAATGGAAATCAGGCCTGGTAGTACCTCTGTAAGCGTAGGAGCTATATTTCTTGAAACGGGTGAAATCTTGGTATGTCTGCCGGCAAGCGGCACTGGCCGCAGCATTGATCTGATCAAGAGTCGCGAAATGATCGCGATCTCCCTGCATGTGACCGTTGTTCTCTGAGTAACACGTCAGGATTCCCAGAGCTACATTGTGTGTTTGTACTGGCCGTTCCGTGCTCGTGGTTGTCGTCGGCTTCGGCTGAACAGTAGTGATCTTATCATGATCGGTTGTGGTAACGAGGGCCGTCACAGCGCCACCATCTTGACCCTGATCCTCATCGGGATCAACGACGTAACAAGTGGCATCAGCGGTTGTGGTGGCCGACGCAGTAGCCCGACATCCAGTATGGACATTACTGCTAGTCGTCGTGCAGGAAGTTGATGTGGAGTCAATAGTCTTGCAAGAGACCCAGACATCGGTGGCAGTCACAATCTCACCGTCACAGTCATCCTCATCAGGATCCTCATTGTTTGGATCCGCGGGTCCTGGATTGGGGTTTGGAAGAGGGTTTGGATCGTTGGCCGCGGCGAACCCACCACCGCCACAGTTCGTGAAACAGGGACCATCACAGAAAATGCGTGACAGACAAGGCTTGTCGCATTTTGCTTTATCGACACATCGAGGTCCACTCTTCTTGTCTGCAGCGGACGTGTATATCACCGGCTTGATGTCATTGTCCTTTGCCCGAGTAGAGCTCCAGGGGTAAGGGGGAATAGTGACAGATCGAGTCACAACCGGATGAGTCACACCACTCTGTGACAGTGGATTGGGATCATCTGTGATCACGACCGTCTGAGGAGGGATCCGCATCATCGGATAGATAGTAGTGTTAGAGACATTCGATGGGATAGTAACTGGCCATATTGGCAACACAGTCACAACGACTAGAAGACAAGAGATTCGTCAGTTCTCGGACATTCAGTTCAGAGGAAGCATGAAAAATTCACTGTCACCTACTTGGAGGAACATCCACTACGGTGGTTTGCAAGATGTGCGTTATGGCGGTCGTGGTTATGACCTTGCCATCGGATAACGTTGTCACTGTTGGAGTTTCCCATGCCACGTTGAGCACTGTGGGATAGCCACCATCAAATGTGATACGCGTGGGTGTGGGAAGAGTAGTCGGTGGCAGTACCAAGACACAGTCCGATCCACAGCTCACCGCGGGATGCTCGTTGGCCCAAATCCCAGAGTCAATGATGACTTGCTCAAACTCCGAGCCATCACCATCTGATCCATCATCGCCTGAGTCAATCTTGCATGCGCCAGCGGGGCAATAACCTCGACTGCAGGTGAAGTCACAGAGGTCTTTCAAACGCTCATATTGCCACGGGTCATCTGTGTCAGGGACACCTTTGACATCTTTGGGGGCCGGTGGAGCGACCAGAGGGCCAGTTTCAACGCAAGAGCATGACTTGGACGGACAGAAACTGAAGGCGCAAGAAAAGCTACATAAGCCAGCCAGGTTTCCCATGCCTGAGCCTTTAACACAGGCAGGAGGATTAAAGGGAGAGCTCGTGGGTATGTACGCTGGCTTCTGCTCAAGGGAGCAGGCTTGAGATGGGCAGTAGCCATAATTGCAGGAGAAGTCACATAAACCAGCATAGTTAGCATCTCCATTGGCCGGATATCCTTTGTCCCCAGTGGCCTTTGGGAGCTTTTTCTGCTTGCCCATGGCAGTACAGTAGCAGGCTCCGACAGGACAATAGCCGTACTTGCACGTAAAAGCGCAAATGCCAGCAAAGTTTCCAACACCAGATCCAGCAACACAAGTTTGCTCGGAGAGCGACAGGTCTGGGGAAACTGCAGAGATTGAACTGGCCTTTGCGCCACCAACCCAAGCATTGAAATTCAACAGACCGTTGGAGCAGACGGTGGTCAGGGCTGGGCCTTTAACACTAACAATTTTCTCATCCCGTGACACTGTAACGATGACTTCTCCAAGGAGGTGCACATTAAATGGGAAGCTTCCATGGTATAGGCCCACACCGCCATCTGGCTCAGAATCCCAACTGCCCTCAAACTCAAGGCCACCAATGCTGATGGTGATGGTGGCATTGGAGGCCAGCAGTGCTGTGAAAAAAATCCTGTTCTCGAAAACAGAAGATGGACTTAATTCAATTTGTAGCTGGCTGGCTGTGTTTCCAGTGGTACCTCCGTCCGAGCATCTGGAAGTTGGCTGCCTCCGATACCACATCACAACACTCTCTTCCTTAATTGATGGTTTGCCGGATTTGTAAAGGTCGATGGCATATGGCAGCTGAAGTCTCCAAGCATCGTGTGGCATATCAATCACGTAATTGTATGGTGCCTTGCCTGTGCCAAAAGCCACATATGCCTTATCGTTCAAAGGACCGATATAGTGCGATTCTCCGTAGTCATTCCATGAGATGATCTCAACCCATTCAGGTTGGATGTAAGATACTTGAATCCATCGGTCATACCACAGATCATCTGAACGCCAGGCCCAGTTTTTGTTGTACCCGGGCATGTTCGTATAGAACCATGGAGAAACGGGCATCATGTAGGGCTTCCCAGCCTCCGCCAGGTATTGAAGATAAGAAGCATCAACGTAGGTGTTCATTTTTCTGTCTCCCCATGGCCAAGCTGCCCAGGAGAACAGTCCATCGGCAACTCCTCCGCTAAGCTGCAGTGCTGGTTTGGCACCCAGGGAAGACCAATCGGGCACAAAGAAACAACCCGTTTCTGCCTTGATCGTAACCCAGTCATCTGAGTTTGCCGGCCCTTCAAAAGTTGACACAAACGGCTTGTTGTTGTGGCGGAAATGAGCAGAACTAGAGGAGTATTGCTTCAAAAGCCTTGTGACCTCGGAGAGTGGCCACGGTCCATTCCCAGCGTAGTCAAATGAGAAGAACAACTTGAAGCCAAGACTTTCAGCAGCGGCAAAGGCATCAGCAATGGACTTGTCGTTCGTGGCCTCTCCATGTGCAATGTTGAGAGCGAAGGCATCGATATGAGCATCCTGAGCAAGGGAGATATCGTTCTTCCAGTCGGATACTGTATATCTGGCTGTATTGCCTACCTGTTTTCCATTAATTTCATACGAAAATGTCATCGTGGGCGAATAGGGACTAATTACCATGAAATGAGCAAAGACAGCTTTTGCAGAGGCTTGTAAAGCCAGGAAGGAGGCTGCCAGGAACACCACGAGGAACCTCGTGAACTGTCCTTTGTCGGACATCATGATGGTAAAGGAGGGAATCCAGAGAGAAATCAGGTGGCCTACTCTTCAGTGCCAAACAGGAGACTTCCATACAGCCTTCTTATAGGCAAGTGCATAGAACATTTGCCATACCTATGATAGCGTATCATTCTTGGGAGCTTTCATCAAACCCACTCAGCTTAGGTACCTAGGTAAGAGGCCTCCCACAAAAGCTCTAGCTTCACGATCCGAAGAGAATTGTACCATATGTTGTAGCTGGTGGGTCTCCGATGTCTTGCGCGATGAGCACAAATTGTTCCTTAGCTTCCTGAAGGTGATTACTACGTTGAGATTCGTTCCGATATTCGAACTGGCACTACACGATAGTGACGAGGGTTTTTTTTTTTTTCATAAGAGTCCCCTACTAGAACGGGAGTAATGCATCGCAATGGTGGAGTATCAAATGATAGCTACTTCCAACAATCCTGAGGTGATCCATGATGTATTGATTAGTGCCCTTCGCTAGTGGCCCTTGTCCAGCTGTTCAGATAACTGGCCAATGTAACCTAAGCCGGTGCGCCAAGGCGCCAGGACGCAAAAACTTTGCTTTCGTTATGAGGAATGGTCAGCGAAATCATTTATTGTTGGGGCACGTTGTCGCTGATGCCCCTTTCACCGGGCAATGGCGCCAGATCCAGTTTAGCCTTTCATCTCACTTCGGTGCCCTTATCCACCTGCACCGTCGCTTTTGGAGAGGGTTCCTACGGAGCCACTAAAAGGTTTCTATATCTTCCCGGACGAAAATCCCCAGAAGTATCGTACTAAAAAATTGTATTTTATTCGTCGCATCAGAGTCTAAGCTTCATGGCTTGTTACTCTCATTGCTATGTAAGAGTGAGCATATGGGTTATGTCCACTGTTGACACTCATTCACAATCTTCTCATCAGTGAGGTACATACGTCTCGGGGTATACAATAGTCATCAGGCGCAAACCCAAGATATGTTTCTCACTTAGACCCCATAAATGACTCTCGATTGTGAACTACTTAAGAAGATTCATATTGACCAGGCCCACTACTGAGTACGGCGAAGCCTCTGAGACGGCCATCGTTATCGAAATACTGTACATCGCTACGTTCTTATCCATGTGAATCTGAGACATTTGTATATTGGGTTGAGGGAAATTGTTCGACTCGAGGCTGCAAAGTGCAAATGGAACGCTAGCTAAGTTGAATGCTAATGTGCATTGATCATGACCTGACCCTTGCAGTCATCTGTCGCCTCTTGGCATTTCCAATTAATTTGCAAAGCCGACTGGAACGGACTTGTACCTGACATCTAGACAATGTGTAATCTGCGATCTTGTGCTTGGTGTACAGAGTAATTAGCCTTTGTCTATCAATACGGTAGGGTTTTGAAATTGCCTATCCACCCAATCAAGTCCTATTTCATGATCCGCACTTTATAGCTGTCTCCGAGATGTTTTGAAAGGACACATTTTGGCGGAATATTTCCAGTACATTATGCTCACATTGTATACTGAGGCTCTTCGTCATTTGAACTTACCGCGTCACATGAATCGACACGACGTATATATCTACACTTTTACTGAATTGAAGGTATCTCCCAGCATCAAAGCTCAAAATCCCGCAGGATGATTTGCCTCATAGAGTTGATCGGCGCTCAACTGGGATCTTGGTGGCCGTTGGTCCGTGGCAGACTAGCAGTCAGGGGCTCAGGGCTGAGGCGCCGAAGGTAGGCCGATTGGCTGAAGGGCATGGCTAATATACTCGCGCGGATTCACGCTCGGTTACAGTAGAAAGGTGGAGACTAAGAAACGGATGAACATGCATGTCATTCAATAGCTTATTATTCCTTTCGCTAGTCAACACGAATGGTGTATGTACAATGTACTCCATGCATATATCCATGAATTCAATCCACCTCCCGCGGAAATTACTCGTTGCCAAGCAGTGGAGAAAACCAATTTCCATCAGAATTGTGGCCGGCGATGAGTGCAATACGGCCCCAAGCCATGGCCTATCCACATTCTCTCAAACTGTGAGAGGTCCAATGCTCTTTCCCTTTACGGCAGTAGGTACTATGATGAGTTAGTGCGGCTGTTCGCAAGCTAAATGCTCTTCTGCTCTTATGAACCTGAAAGACATCACTAACTACAATGGCGCTAGCACTACCAGCCTCCAGGAGATTCACATAAGCTAGCTGGACCTAGCTATGACCAAACTTTGGCCACGACGCTACCGAAATAGTTTACCACAGCAGAGTGCAACTCTACAACAGCCCCGATCTTGGCGCTTCGTTTTCGCCTTTCTATACTCCGTGTAGTGTAATCAGAGTCTACCCATTGTTTATAATCAATTTGTCGACACGGGGGGCCTAGATCACTGCACAACGCATCCTGGGCTCCGCGACTGAGATTTGAGAATAGCGCTATACTCGCGTCCCGCACAGGAAATTAAAGCGGAGATGATACCTGGCCTGCTCTTCGACGACTCTTCGAAATGGACTTGATATGGAGATTATCAAGTACTTTGACCTAGCGCCGGAAGAAAGACCATATCAGGATTTTGAGGTTTTGCCTCCACTGGTATTGCCTAGCTTGCTCAAATGTCTTCATGCTAGGCATGGGCTGAGGTCGTACCGTCATTTTCGGCGGAACTACAGTACAGTCTCTCGTTCTGTTGCCTATCCACAGAAACCTTGTCTCGGACTCGATGGGTGGGCTAGCTCCGCGCTTGCTGAATTTGCTGACCTGGGTAGATGCGCAGAAGCCTCGGGACTCCTCGGAGCACCTTTCAATGTGATTAATATAAACCTCTCAACGACAATGAATCTACAAGATAGTTTCCTTTCAATTATCGTTACAGGAGGGATAGTCCGTCAGAACTAAGGTTGTGATTCAAGATGGCGAGAAGATTGCTTCTTCGTGCATTGACTTTCCTTGCTGTCTGTCTCTTGATCTTTGTTCAAGTCTCAGCCCGTTCTGTTCCGCACACACGCGCAGAGTCTCTGGTCGATTCTGCGGACTGGCTCCATCATTCCAAATCTTCGAATATCTCTCTGCACCCTCGCGCAGACGACAAACCACCCCCCTTGACATGGGATAAGGCGGTTCAAAATGGAAAGGGCCACATGTGCAACTGTGAACGTCTAGAAACGCCCCCTCATCCAAAGACTGGAGAGCCAAAGCCAGTTTGGACAGGAGACGACCTCGATATGTATTGGACCCCTCAGGACTACTATATTGGAGACGCCCGCGAGACCGAAACGACGATAAGCCTACGTAACGCCTTCAGTGCGCTTAAACTATCTACAACCTTTCCCCCAAATAAGGGATTCGTCTTGTATCAAGATTCGGACTGGACCGGGAAAGACGGAAAACGATATCTTGTACCTTTTCCCTTTACTGATTCATACCACGCTGAAGATCACTAAACTCCTTTTTAGGCAACTTACGGGCACTATTCCGGCATAATGAACCCCGCCGACGGCTTTGTTGTGGCCGAGCAGAGTTTCAGCCCCTGGGAAGAGACCAAAAATGACTCTCCTCGGCGACAGCCACCGTTGACCCAATGGTCTGATGTGACATTCCTTACCTGGGCACGGTTTGCTCAAAACCCGAAGGAGCTCATAAACCTCAAGTATTTCTTCCGAAATCACATTATAAATGACGACACGAAAAATATTATCAACGAAGCTCTCAGACGAACCGGCCAGAGTCTATCTGAGTGGCCAGGGGTCGAGTTTTCAATGACTTCAGACGAAGGGAAAGCGATTCTGGGGACACCCAACGGAGGCGGAGTAGCTTGGTTTATTGTCGATCACAAAAAAGAACTTGGAGTGAAGACTGTGGAATCGGTAACGGTCTTCAAAACGCCTGGCAAAGATGCGAAAGGGAATTATGAAGACTGGTATCAGGCTATGTTTACAATCGTGCCGGGCACGGGCAAGAAGAAGGGCAAGGGCAAGGGCAAGGGCAAGGGCAAGGGCAAGGGCAATGGCAAGAGAGATAGTTCCGGGTTAGATGAGGGTCTCTGGGAGTATCAGAGCTGAACGGCGCTCACTGATCTTCCAAGTTAGCCGGGACCCGGAGAGCCAAAATATAGGGATACCTGGGTTGACGAGAGACAGGATGCTGAATGGATTTACCTATCAATTTCAGAACGTCCTGTGGCACACTGCACTGCTCTGGACATTTGACTTGTTTGCTTGTGCTGCTCATCTATAAGAAAAAAGGTCCCAACAAGAGTTAAATCTGGCGGAATGGGCTTGGTTGATAAGTTATAGGTACTTGAAGGACTTTTTTAAAGAGAAATCTTGTGGGAGTGGGAATGTGGGACAGTTGGTACCATGACAGACGCTAATTGCCGTAGTACTAGTTACTACCTCTCGATAACTGCAACACCGCAGAGGGCCAAGAATTTTGATTTAAATTGGGCCCTGTCTCCCTATCTCTCCCACTTTTCTCCATGATCGCTCACTCACCATGGATCCCTTCTCAACATTCCCGCCTGAGGTAATAGTGTCCATCCTTGAGTTTTGTGCCGACTTTGCTAGCTTAGATAGCTTGCTCAGAACGTCCACCCGAGCGGATCAAGTGTTTGGCGTGTATTACAAGACCATCACTGAGCGGGTCATGAAGAATTGTCCGATTCTCTCCCATGGGCTACAGTACGAATTTCGCAACATCGTACTCCTCGAATCAGATGCAACATTTACTCCCTCGAGCCTGCCAGAGCTACTAGATGGCGCTTACACAACATCTATTGTGCCGCTTTCTCTCCCCACCGACAGTTCTTTTGGAGCCGTGCGAAAAGCCATCAGTATAGCGGCGAGTATCTGTCACGCTGCTTCTGCTTGCATTCATATTCTTTTGGATCGTCTTATGATTGCAGCGCCTCGCCGTGTGGTTGGCTCAACCAGCAATTCCGTTGAATGGATACAGGGAAGATTATCTGAGCCCCCAAGCGAACCCATCCGGATTACATATCATCCTCCTTCCTGGGCTGAAACATATCGAACACATCGCATTCTATGGACGCTTGCAACATTCAGTAGCGTTTTGCACGCGGCAAACACACGATGGGACTGGTCTCTAGAGGACAAAATCTCTTTCACTGAGCGCTATGTCAAAGAATGCTGGCTGAAATGGCGTCTCCAAGAACTCCAAACGATCGCGGAGTGCTTGGCTGTCATTTATCCTAGCGAGACAATATCCCTCGACAACCGTTTCCCTTTTCTGGTGACCATTCCTTCATTAGAAAAATCGCCCTCAACTGCTCCGGCACGTTTAATCTTACCCACCCCTTCAAAGAATCCAGCCGCGGATCAAGACTGGGAACAGATTTATTGGCGCGCCGGAAGACAAAATGGCGCTGTAGGCACGTATCGCAACCATCTCCGCTTTCATCAGTATGTCATGCATCCTCTGAAATATGTGGATTTCCAGGCCTTTCGACGCCTTGGAATCCCAATATGGGATAACTGGCGACTGTATCTAATTGGGTTGATCAACCGGCCAAGAGATATATGTCCGGACAGTTCTGTTTTTGATGATCTGCCGCAGGGATTCGAAAACTCGTCTCCGTCCAGCAAACTTTTCACATGGTGGAGCTTAGCAACAAAGGAGGACATTGATGAGAAGTTCGTCCCTGAGCATTCACCAGATTGGTCTTTTTCTTTGTGACTCCTTTTCTTGCGCCGTGGCCTATGTGGAGTGATGAGAAGGCCAGGGTTCATAAAGCACTGGCAGTGCGATGTTGGCAAAGATTTACTGCGGTCGGGATACATAAAACTATTAGCCTGGTACAGCTAAATGTAAGTAAAGCGCTACAAGCATCAGAATTACACAGCAACTAGTAGGGGTATGCCCTCCTTGCGTGCCACTCACAGCCTGGCGGCCGCGCCTACATCAGATCTATCTTCTTATCTAAGGAGGACGCCATCTGAAATGCAGCCAAAGATTTGCTGCTGATCATATTACAATCACCACCAGCTGGGGGCGAAAGTCGTGGTGCCATGATGGCGCGTCATATTGCTAATGAACTTAATGAGGTGGCCAGAGCCGCAACGAGGTAGTTCTGGGACGGCTTGGGCCCGAAATCGAACCGGCAACCCAGGACCCCTTCTGGGATGGAAAAGCATAATTAGTCATATTGGGGTTATGCCATGCATGCACGTTCGGTCACAGCCTCGCGCTTAGGACTTATTTTACCCCGCTTCAGCTCGCCATAAAAGCCTCGCCTATGTTTCGAACTCGAATTCGTATTCTCAGATCGCCGCCGTGCTTATTTGTGTGGAGATACGTTTATGCTGCGTCTACCCTATGGAGTCGGCGGCCAGCGTCATCGCCATTATCCAATTGACGGGAAGTCTTGTGAACCTTTGCGGAGGCTATATTCGAGAGGTGAAGGATGCGCGAAGTGAAATCCTTAACCTACAGCGGGCGCTTACCGGCCTGCAAGACATACTTCAAAAACTGCAGGAAATCCTTCAAAATGATAAGAGCTTACCTACATCCTCACGACTTGTTACCAGTATTACCGATTGCTGCTCCGAACTCCAGGCCTTAGAAGCGAGTCTCGATCTTGGAAAGGGAAAAAGGCTGATGGGGAAAGTGGGATTACGAGCCTTGAAGTGGCCCCTCAAACGCACAGAGGTGGAGTGCGTAACGAAGAACCTTGAGAGATATAAATCTTCATTCCTCTTATCGCTACAGGTGGACCAGACGTAGGTTTATGCCTGACCATGCTCTAGCTCGGTGTGATTAACCAAACCGCACAGTTCTCTGATGGTCGGCGTGGTCCAGAATACCGATCGGATCAATCAACATATAGATCTTGAGAAGTTAGAAGGTGTGATAGAGGCAGAGTTCGAGTCGTTCTCCGATCGAGATGAAGTTGAATGCCTCCAGGGCACTAGAACCGAGCTTCTTCGGGAGATAATGGAATGGGCAACTTCGCCATCCTCGAGGAGCATTCTCTGGTTAAAGGGAATGGCCGGGACAGGGAAATCCACAATATCTCGGACTGTAGCAAGGTTATTAAAGAATACGGACCATCTGGGTGCCAGCTTCTTTTTTAAGAGGGGTGAAGGGGACCGAGGGAAAGCAAAGAAGTTTTTTCCGACATTAATCAGGCAACTGATGCTCTGGAGCACTGACCTGGGGCCTGGTGTGAGAAAGGCACTTGATAATGACCCTGGTATTGCGTCGAAATCACTCAGGGAGCAATTCGAGAAATTACTCCTTCAACCACTGCTTAGTCTTGAGCAACCCAGACGACAATCTCAAACCGCTGTGATGGTAATCGATGCATTAGATGAATGTGAACATGATCAAGATATCCGAAACATAATACGGTTATTACCTCTTCTACAAAAAGCGGGATCAATTCGCCTTCGGATCTTCTTGACCAGCAGGCCTGAACTCCCAATCAGTCTTGGGTTTTCAGAGATCGGGGATCGGGCTTACCAGGACCTTGCTCTTCATGACATTCCAGAAAAAGTGACAGAACGCGACATCCATTTATTCCTACAAGACCGATTTGCGAAAATCAGACATGACAGAAATATCTCTCAAGATTGGCCTGGCGATTGCAAAATCCAAGAGCTCGTCAGGGTATGCGTTCCACTGTTCATCTCGGCTGCCACTGTGTGCCGCTACATTGAAAACTCAAGGTGGGAACCAAAATTGCGCCTCCAGGAGCTCCTAAAAGACCAATACAAATACATATCGAGAATGGATAAGATATACCTGCCAATTCTGTCGCGACTACTTGAGGATCAAGAAAGCAACGAGTCAGAGCAGCAGCAGCTCCTGCAGGAGTTCCAGGATATCGTGGGTGTTATTATACTTCTTGCGGTTCCACTTTCTATCAATACACTGTCTCGGTTCCTTGGGATAGGAGCAGACCAGATCAATAACCGGTTAGATTCATTCCGATCGGTTTTAAACCTTCCCTGTAACCGAGATCAGCCGGTTAGGATTCTACATCTGTCGTTTCGGGACTTCCTGGTCCGCTCTAGAATGAAGTTTCATGTGGACGAGCCAACCAAGCACAAGGAAATTGCTAGGCTCTGTCTCAAAGCAATGCAGACTCATCTACGGAAAGATATCTGCAATCTGTCAAGCCCTGGAGCGCATAGGGCAGAAATTAACTCCCAAGATATTCGCCAGTGTCTACCACCAGAATTACAATACTCTTGTCGCTACTGGATGCACCACCTCAAACAAAGCCACGACCTAGTCAACGAGTTAACCCAAGTTTTCGAGTTTCTTCGATCTCACTTCCTTCATTGGATTGAGGCAATGAGTCTACTTGCTATCACCTCTGAAGCTGTTGAAATGATTCAGACATTACGGGTAATCGTGCAGGTAAATATCTACTGGTTTAATGGACTTGCGAATGCTGAAGAATATAGGATGTTAAAGCGCCTGAATTATCGGAACTCCTACATGACGCTTGGCGGTTTATTCTTAGAAACCGACAGATAGCTGATACTGCGCCCCTTCAGCTTTATTCATCGGCACTTATATTTGCCCCAGGAGACTCGATAGTCAGACGCTTATTCCAGGTTGAATTGTCAGGTTGGAAGAAGATACCACAAGTTGAGGTGACATGGAATGGAGAACTACAGACCCTTGAGGGCCATACTAGTTCAGTTTGTTGTGTTGTATTCTCACCAAACGGCCAGCTATTAGTGTCTGGATCCCAGGACAACACTATCAAACTGTGGGATCCTAATACTGGCGAACTGCACCAGACCCTGAGTGGACATTTAGATTCAGTTCGGTCTATTGTCTTCTCCCCTGACAGTCAGCTGTTGGCATCCGGCTCTCATGACAACAGTGTCAAATTATGGGATTCTGGAACTGGAGAGTTGTGTCAAACCTTCAAGGGTCATTCTGATTATATTTATTCAGTCGCCTTCTCCCCTAATGGACACCTATTAGCATCTAGCTCTGTTGACAAGACTATCAAGCTCTGGAATCCTGCTACAGGCGAGCTGTGTCAGACTCTCTGGGGCCATTCTAGTACAGTTCTATCTCTTGCTTTTTCGCCCAGTGGAAAGCAGCTAGCATCTGGTTCTCATGATAACACTATTAAACTCTGGGATCCAAGCACAGGGGAGCTTCAGCAGACTCTTACAGGCCATGAAGGACCGATTCGTTCAATTGTCTTCTCATCCAATAACCAGGTGCTGGCATCTGGCTCTCATGATACAACCATCAGGCTCTGGAATCCCAAAACGGGAGAACTACGTCACACATTGAAGGGCCATTCTAATTGGGTTTATTCACTTGCCTTCAACCACAGCGGGCAGCTGTTGGCATCTGGTTCCATCGATAACACCATCATGCTTTGGGATCCCAGTACGGGTAAGTTGTACCAGATCCTTGAAGGCCATTCAAATTCAGTTCTCGCTGTTACCTTCTCGCCCAACAACCAACTACTGGCATCTGGCTCACATGATAAAAGTATCAAGCTCTGGGACCTGAGCACACCAAAGTTACATAAATCTTTGAAGGGCCATTTGCATTGGGTCTGTTCTGTCGCTTTCTCACTTAATGGGCAGCTCCTGGCATCAAGCTCTGTTGATAATACCATTAAGCTCTGGGATCCTACCACGGGTCAGCTACGTCAGACCCTTGGAAGCCATTCCAGTTCGGTTTTTTCTGTTGCTTTCTCATTGGATGGTCAGCTATTAGCATCTGGCTCCCATGACAAAACTATTAATCTCTGGAATCTTAAGGAGGCCAAGGTGTGCTATATCCTTAAAGGACATTCCAGCTCTGTTGAGTCAGTTGCCTTCTCGCCTGACTCCCAGCTGCTGGCATCTGGTTCTGACGACAATACTATTAAGCTTTGGGATCTCCATAAGGGTGAGCTGCGCGAGACTCTTCATGGCCATTCTAATATGGTTATATCTGTTGCTTTTTCGCCTGACGGGAAGCTGCTGGCATCTGGCTCTCATGATAATACTGTCAAGCTTTGGGATATCCACAAGTGCAAGCTTTCTAAGACCATTAAGGGCCATTCTAGCTTTGTTTATTCTGTTGCCTTCTCATCAAATAGCCGGAGGCTAGCATCTTCCTCCAACGACAACACTGTCAAGATTTGGGATCCATACACCGGCGAGCTATGCCAGAGCCTAGAGGAGCACTCTAATTGGGCTTGGTCCCAAGGCATTATTGGGGTATCTATTTTGGAAAACCAGTGGATTTGTTGTCAGGGTAAGAGGATATTGTGGCTTCCTCAGGACTTCCGTCCAACTTGCTTGGCATCGGCAGGAGATATTCTTGCTCTTGGACATTTGTCGGGAAAAGTCTCATTTATCTCAAGAAGACACTTATCTCGATTAGAGGCTTAGAATGGAACAATGGGACATGCTTTGATGCGGTATCGGAATACACCTCCAAGAGGTCGCGCTTGAAAGACTCAACCGTACCCAATTGTCCCCATCGCAGATTACCCCGTTATAACAAGTCACTACCTTGGTTCAAGCCACCTCTCACAATGCTGGGACAGTGTCAAGGAGATTCGGTCTCCCTATCACAGACCGCGCAATCGTTCCAGAGCATCTTCGTTGTGATTGACGCCTTGGATGAGTACTATTCTTCAAACTCAGAAGAGCTGCAGGTCTTACTCTCGGCCTTATTTATATTTGAGAAAGATAAACCAATCAATATTCTTGCTACGTCTCGTCCTAACTCAGAGATTATGTCACAGTCCGAAGGATGCATTCAAGGGGAAATCCGCGCGCAAGACAACGATATCTTAAAATATGTAAACACAACGCTACCTACCTTGCTTCGGTCAAAGATCTCGCGGTATTCCAATGTCCAAGACGACGTTGTCGTGAGGTTATGAAGAGCGCAGAAGAAAAGTAAGCTACTAAAGCCCTGCCCCATAGATGGTTTATCTGAAGTCAACCGAGCTTTGATCTAGGTTCTTAATCGCCACATTGCACATGGACCACTTGAAGGAATATCTTAGAATGGGTGACCTCGAAGGAGCTCTCGATCACTTGCCCCGTGGGAGAACTGGACTGGGGAAAGCATATAATCAGGCGATCGACAGAATAAAGTCTAAATCGGAACAGTGCTGCCAAATGGCAATGAGAGTTCTGTCTTGGTTTGCCTACTGCAAGCCAGCACTCTTTGGCAAGGAGCTTCAGCATGTGCTTGGGACTCGCTCTGGTCAAACGGATTTGGACCGCCAGTTCTTGCCGGACATTGACATTCTTGATTCAGTCTGCGCGGGCTTGGTTGTTTTCGACCGAAATACCGGACTAAGTCGCTTGGCTCACTACACAACGAAGCAGTATCTCTTGGGCCCCCCTTTACTTTGCGATTCAGAAGCAGAAATTGCCCAGACATCCATCACGTATCTTTCATTTGCGGCTTTCTCCAGTGGATGCTCTACAATCCGTACTGATCATGAGCGCCGGCAAGAACTTTATCCTCTTCATTATTATTGTGCGAACTATTGGCTAGCACATGCCTCAGCGGCTCTGGACACGTCGAAAGAATTAATGACGTCTATAATGGCATTTTTGGAGAAAGAATCAAATTTCCAGGAGCTTCGAGACATCATAGCACATTCTGCCCTACGTGATAGACCGGGTTGGGCAGAGCGGGTTACACCTTTCCTGTATCCATTGACGAAGTATCGATTGACGAAGGTACATCTCGCAGCTCATGGTGGTTTAGCAAGCATTATTACCGAGTATATACGTCAAAATCAGGACGTGGACATTCGAGACTCCAAAGGCAGAACGCCGCTCGCCTATGCTGCTAAAGCCCGCCACCTTGACACTACCAGAGTTCTTCTCGAATCAAAGCGTGTTAATTCTGACTCGAAGGACAAGGACGACCGCACACCTCTATTACTTGCAGCGTTAACCCCCCATCGCGCCCGTCCCAACATACAGAACACATCCATTATCATACAACTTTTGCTTCAAAATGGGTGCTCATCCAAACACTACAGTGTGTGGCCAGACACCGCTCTTTTTCGTTGCGGCCAATGGGCATGATAGAATCGTCAAGCTTTTGCTTGACTGGCGTGCCAAACCAGACCACCAAGCCAAATTGGGACAAAGACCCAATTTCTGGGCGGCTAGTAAAGGGGTTGAGGCGATTGTGGAAATACTTATTGAGAGGGGTGCAAATGTGAATTGTTCCGACGACTCAAATCAATCACCGCTGCTTTGGGCTCTTGGGGGAGGCTGGAATACCGCAACGAGAGAGATAACAAGAGGAGAAAGGCGTACAGTGCCGCATGCTCTTTCAGTTAGCGGCATGGAGTCAGTGGTGATATTGTTGCTCCATCATGGCGCAGATCCAAATACCGCTAATAGAAATGGGCGAGGACCTATACACTTTGGTGGACCGCCGTTACAACTCAAAACCCCTTGTGAAGCTGCTTTTGAAGGCAGGAACTGATCCGAACAAAAAGGATAAGTATGGCCGCACGCCCTTAATGGGCCCCACTGTCTGTGGACTGAGAAATACTGTGGTAGCACTACTAGAGGCTCCAGATATTGACCGAGACACAACTGATGTCTTCGGTCGTACAGCTCTCATGGAAGCCACCACGAGAAGGCACCGTCGCATTGCAAAGCTTTTATCACGAGACCACGGGGACGATCCCAAGTGGGGTTCTTTCCATCCTGGCGATGATTTTGGGCCTCGTGGCAATGTAATCTGTGCTATATGTCGAGCCTCGACTTTCCTCGAATGTGCGAATCGCTGCTCGATATGCAACTTTGCACAGTTTGATATCTGCGAGGAGTGCTGGAGGTTTGGCGCAACTTGCTTGGATGACACACACCAGTTGGTCAAGCAAGAGAAAAGTTGAAGTCGGCTTGATAATCTCTGGATCTTGGAAGGATGCTTTATGGCCCAGAGATTAGGGAAACGGTGGGATGAAGTAGAGTCTGAGTCAATGAGACTAGAATGGTGTCCGGCCTCAGAACCTATTATACCTGAGTTGGTCATGGGACGCACTATGTATCTAACTTTTATTACAGTTAGTTACGATGTACGATCTCGAGGAGAGTTGGGATACTCTACTTGAATTGTTTGTACCTATCCACTGAAGCAATACTTCATCTATTACTATACTAGAAGGTCCGCAATAAAGTCTGTACAATGATTCCAGATAACCTCCTCATGACCACCCTAAGCAATCGGGCCAAAAAAGCTAAACTTGCCTGCCGGGTCATACTTCTTCTTCAAAGCCCGCAGACGGTCTTGGCGCCACTGCTCACTGCCGTACCACTGACTCGGCGTCTCATCGCCATAGGCATAGTTGACATACGCGCCAATCTCCTTGAGCCCACTAGCCTGGAAGAGGATCTGACGGAGCTGGTTACCCAGCTGCGCGGCGTCATTGTCGCGCTCCGGCCCGGCAGGCGCGTAGGTGATCAGCGGCGCGGCAAGAAGGTTCTCATTCCGGAAGGCAAAGGCGCTGGACTTGCTGTTGATAGCCCGGACACCTTGCATGGAGTAGCCCTCGAACATGAAGATGGAGTTGTTGAACGCCGAGGACCCGCGGGTGGCGGCGGCAAAGATGTCGTAGGCCTTCTTCTGGGCGGGGACGTTGTACCCTTCGAGATAGATGGGGAAGCGGGGGTTGACGAGTCCGGCCTTTTGGCATGGCGGGGAGGTCGTGGCGATGCCAGTCCATCCAGCGAGATCAGTGTAGCTTCCTCCGATAGATTCGGCGGATAGCGGACCGATGTCGTGGAAGGGCTTCGTGTAGGCTGGGTCGACTGTCTTTACTCCTTCCTGGATGATGTAAAATAGGATGACGGGCTAGAGGTTGTGAGACAAGGCAACAACTTGTGGATAGGGTATATAATACTTACGTTGTTCGGGTCAGCGGTGGGGATGTTGAGCCAGTACGACCAGTTGATGAGATCCACGGGCTGAGTGCCGTTCTTGAGGAGGTGCTCGTTGGCAGCCTGGTAGACAGCCTCGACTTTATCGCCGCTGAAGATGAGCGTGTCAATTGCCCAGTCGGCGTGCTGGATATCATAGATCTTGGTGGTCACAGAAGTCACAATGCCAAAGTTGTGGCCTGCTCCATTCAGAGCCCACCAGAGATCGGATCTCGCATCAATCGTCTTCAGGCTGCCGTTGGCCAGGACGATATTGGCTGAGACGAACTGATCTGCAACCAGTCCATGATGTCCCTGAAGCCATCCATGTCCGCCACCAAGGGCAGGTCCCAGATAGCTGACGCACTCGCATGTTCCCGTCACCGTCTGCTTTCCCGCCGCCCAAAGCTGGTCGGTGACGGTTTTGGAGATGGTGCCGCCGCCAATCTTGGCTGTTTTCCCATCCTTGGAGATCTCCACGCTGCTCAACTGGTTGAGGTAGATCTCGATGCCATGGTCCATCCTGCCAAGGGTGGTAATGGCTCCATGCACGCCATTGTACGCCAGAAAAGGCAAGTTTTTCTTGTTGGCGTATTTCACCTATCACCAGTTAGCGATCCATACCCATTATCAATGGAAAAACTGAGAGAGAATAGTAGAGGCAAGGACAACACACCGTCTCAACGACATCGTTCTCCGTCCCGGGAACCACGACAACGTTTACTTTGGGTGCATCCAGAACAGACCACCGTGTGGACGCCTGTTCAAACTCAGTCGATCCAGGGAAGTAGATCTTGCCAGTACTCGACAGCTTTCCTCCCAGCTCCTGCAAGTCAGCATCTCCGCGTGGACAGATGCCTCCAAGATCACAGGCAACGGGCACTGATAGGCAGGATGCGGGTACAGCCGAGGCAGCGAGGGCTGCGACAGCCTCAATTTTGAGCCAACGCATTGGACGGGCAGCAAGAAGAAAGTTTCACTCGAAACAGAGCGAGGGAAAATGAGAAGGATTTCAGATAAAGAGAGATGCACAATTGATTGGTCTCGATCGAGCGCCTAGGTTACATTATGTACAGGGGCATGTCGCATTTTAACCCCTCGTTCGGGATAGAGTACATCCTTGGCTATTGCAGGTGGCATGAGGGCGCAGGTACCAATTAATCAGAGTTCATTTAACGGGCGCAAGGGATTGGTGAACCCATCATAAACCCTGTCGCATCCCTGCTAGGCTGCTTCTAGGCGCTGGAGAACCTAACGAGATCGGGTATCGTCATAGGCCGGATCCTGGCCACTGATCCGTATAGCTCCGACGCCCTGCCAGCATTAGATGAACTCGGCAATGACCACGACCGGCATACGAGGGGGCCGAAAATATACTTTTTTCTATTTTTCTGGTCTTGTTGTTCGATAATATCTTTCGCCTATTTTTTTATTCTTGTCGTACATAGGAAAGCTAAGTCCGATGTTGTTACTCTACGCTCTCGTCAATCCGCCAGTTGGCCATGCTGGCCCGGACGCTTTGTTTCTCTAATGTCGACCGACTCTGCCGCAGATGAAGCTGCTCAGGCAGCCTTATACAAGTCCACGGTTGAGCACTGGACGCTGTATGCAGTTGGCGTTACGGTGACCCTGCTCCGGACGTACTCCCGGGTGAGAGCCGTGGGGTTCAGACACCTGCAAGCCGAAGACTTGCTTGTGTGGGTTGGAATTGTTCGTGAAACACCCGTGGATATGGGTCAATCAGTTGCTAATGCCTATTTCGACCAGGTATTCTACACGGCGCAGACGGCTCTTGCGTACAGCGTGAGTCATGTCGCGCATGGCCTTGCGAATAACGGCTTCACCGACGCTCAACGGGCTGCACTGTCCCCTGATGGTCCAGAATACCGAGCGGCGTATGTCTAGACTCGAAGAGTACACAGGTGCGACCGAGCTCACACGTATACAGGGTAATTGGGTCGAAAATTCAAGTCGCTGGGTGGACTACATATTCGGTGTTGATGTGGTCACTCAAGTTGTCCATGCTGGCCTTCTACCTTCGACTTACAGTAAGACTACAAGGACTTCTTTCTATTGCAATTGGTACTCATGCGCTCGACAGGACGGTCTTAGCCAGCGGTATCGCAATCCCATCTACGTTGGGTTCGGCCTTGTCATCGGAACATTCCTCGTCAGCATAATCACCATCTTCGCGGCTTGCCGGCCATTCCACAAGTACTGGCAGATCAACCCAGATCCTGGCAGTAAGTTTGCACCATTGCGGCCTCATCCGATCAATCGTTCTCTGACAATTCCCCTTGTAGATGTCTGCCAGGCCGCCATATCCAGGCCGATCATCTGGGCCTCCTTTGCATCCAACGTGTCGACCGATATCTACCTCATCTTAATCCCCATCCCCATGCTTTGGAAATCCCGCCTAAAACTCATGAAAAAGATCGCCGCGACCGTCGTCTTCGGCGCCGGGCTGTTCGTGCTCGTGTGCGCTATCCTGAAGAGCGTGTTTGTCTTGGTGGTAAGTCGTGATGTCACATTTGCCACCCCCAGCCGGGAGCTAACACGCATACCCGCAGGACCCCGTCGATGGCGCACAGCTGGCCGGCGAATGGGGAAATAGGGAGGCCTTCGTCGCAGTGGTTACTACCAACCTTCCCATGGTCTTTCATCTCTTTCGATCCTGGCTCTCGCGGCTATTTGGCACCGCATTCGGCAGCTCCCAGAAGACAGACAAATTCCCCAGTGGGTTTCAGACTATCGGTGGCGGCGCTGGTGAATCATTCAGCCGGAATCGTCGGGTTCCGCCGACAGCGCATCCTATTAGCGCCAACTTGACGTTCAGCGAGAGTGAGGAGCGGATAGTGGACGATGTGAAGATGAATAACTTGGAGGCATTTGGTGCACGCGGCACTAGTCCTGACCATCCTCCCGGTGGCATTGTAGTGTCTAATCAGATTGAGATCACCCATGAGAATAGAAATAGCCTTCTCGGTGGGAGTGATCAGCCTCGTGGGGGGAGGTGGTGATCAAATGTATAGAAGTCGATTAGATAGACCTACAGTTATGAAATAATCTGTTCTTACCACCATGCAATTTTTATTCAACGCAGTCTCAATTTCGAATAGACCGTTGTAACTCTGGGCATTTGAAAGCCCCAGAGATAGTAATTAGGCTAGTCGTCAGAAATACGAGCGACAGTGTCCTTCGATCTCCGAAGGTCCGCATTCAAGATGAGAGCCTTTTTCAAGGGCACACAGGGAGAAGAATATGACAGGTTGTGCCAAAGACGTGAAGTATATAATATTGAATCTCAAATAGTCATACCTGACACGCTGCACGTAACTAATGATAGACAGATGCGTGCTCATTGGTGACAACGGGGTTGGCAAGACAACACTCTTGACCCGATACGTGACCAATCAACTATGCAACCCCGATTTCCAAGTATTTGACAACTGCGCAGTGGATATCAGGTAGGCAGACTGAGAAATCAGAAATCAATCATCGGTTTTGCTGATACACTTAGAGTTGATGGCCGGCCCTACAGCCTGGGATTCTGGGACACCTGGAACGACGACGAAAGGAACCGGATTCGCCGGCTTTGTTATCTCAATACCGACGTGTTTCTCATCTGCTTCTCTGTTGTCAACCGTCAATCCTTCTCCAGCGTGAAATACTACTGGTGCGATGAACTACGGAGTTGCTGTTCTGGGGTTCGGTGGCTGCTGGTTGGTACCCAGATCGACGCAAGGGACTACAATTCTGGTCTACAAGTCAGGAAGGACCGGAGAGGACATGTAACGCGTCAAGAGGGTGAGAGGATGGCTAGAAAACTGGGCGCTGCTAGATATATGGAGTGCTCTGCTCAGGATCAATTCAACGTCAAGGAGCTCTTCCATGAGGTAGGTGCTTCTTGAACTTGTGACTTATTCAATCGAAGGCATTCATAAACTGATAATACGTTCCTGAGATCAGGCAATCCGTGTTTCACAAGAGCCAATGACTACTGCAAAGGAAAAGAGCACATGTGTGATAGTCTAAAGGTTCATACTCATACAATGGAGGAGAAGGATCGTCAAAGTCATAGCAGTTCCATTCGTTCAAAGATTCAACAATCAGTTCCCACCAATCTAGAGCAACCTCCATACCTCAAAGCCAACACAGCGCAATAGAGACATCGATCGTGCTGACCTTGCCTACTCCTCAACCAGGAACAAAAGGAGTATCACCCGAGACACGTTAGAGCCCGCCGGCAACTTCAACATCCCAGCAGCAATAAATCCTGCGCGACAGATTAGATATTGTCGTTTCCACCAGAGAGACTTGTGTCAAACGGCAGGCCGACTCCACAGTAAGCATCCTCTTTAAAGCTGCTGACCGAGCCCAACTTCAACCACCCATTCCAGGTACCGCCATGATCCAGACGCAAGCACTGGGTGCCACAGATTGTCCCATTCTCCGCGTTCCGGATGTACTCGGCGATAGCCCCTTGAATAATAGATTCCTGCACCGTCGCATCGCACTGCAGGCCAGTAGCATAGAACGACCATTTGACATTATCGAAAGCGCCAGTCATATGTCGACACCTCTGCTGATTTGAAAGGTCCCTGATCAAGGTTGGAAGTCCCAGGAAATAGCCGAGAATATCCAGAATTCCCAGACATACTAGCGCGAGGAGTAGTAGGACGAGTATACCGTGACACACATTGGTAAGGGTGCGCTTGTCAGAAGCTCGCCTTTGATGCCAGTCTGGGGCAAGCATGACGCAGACGTCGACATTAGCACGAAGCAGGTTACTCGGAGCACAGTCTTCCTGAAAAACGTAGTACTGCATGGCAGTGAGAGCGATAACACTGTGTAGCAGGACCGGGAAAATACATCGGTCGCAAAAGATACGAAAGTCGGGGGAGCTAGGCATCGGGAGAGACAACTTCAATGCTGTGGATGCCATGAATGCTGCGTGGGCTTCGTTTGATGATGCGAGGAGCTATAAGTTGTGATGAGATAGTCCTTGATGAACTGGAGAGTTTGCAAGTACCAAGTCTGATCAACAGTGGCGATTACAATGATTCAAAACAAACTGTAAGTCACTATAGTGCGGTTTTTCAGTTGGGAAGTCTCGTCTGCCTAGTTAGCATCTTGCACCAATTCATCTGCAGTTTAGTGGTATGTAGATCTAGTAGCAGTTGCCTTTGTTACCTTCTCTTTCTTCACGTAGCACACGGCCCCAGCCAGTTAATACCAATGATCATTGTTTGGCAGGTTGGCTCTAAAAGACTCATGTTTAAGTGCACGAGGATTCACAACGCATAACAAGAGATACTACGTTAGTCACTTGGTCTGCCTTGGGCCTATGTAGCTTCGGCTTCCAGGATATAGGAGCTGTATTCCTCTTGGATCGGTGGACCAGAGAGCCTAGGTGTCAATCCGGGTCAATCCAGGTCAATAACAAATGGTTGCCCCGGAGCCTCGGGAATTTGTATACAGTTCCAAATGGAAGCGCATCGAACACAATTGTAGACGAGCTTGATGAGTTGCAGCTGAGGATCCATTCGTAGCCACGCATCCGATCAAAGGTTCATGTCCCAGCCAGCCCCATCTGTCGATATACCATCTGTTGTGGTGCAACACATGACCTTCTATATACTTCATTCAAGAACGACGCCTGTCTACTCAATCAGTCTTTTATGAATGCTTAGTTCGCAGTCTTCATAGCACCAGCAGTGAAGCAAGTTCTTGCGGCCTCTGATGACCCCGTTGTCTCAAGGTGTGATTCCTCCAACGTCTGTTCTGTCTCATGCTGAGACGCTTCCTTCCTCCCTCTCGGTTTCTTGGCCGTGCCCCCCTTCATTGCTGGACGCGGTACTCTTGCGAGAAGCCTCTCATTATGTCTGAGTACGATACTGAGCTCCATTCGTCTCAAAGTCTGTAAGCCGACTCTCGGTGAATTGAATGCCATGCTTGATGGTCAGGAAATTGGCACTGGCGGGATGGCGTATGGGTTGGGCCCAATGATTGGAAAGGGGGAGGAGTGCCGACGAGGACGTCCAACAGTCAGCTGGATCCTCGTATGATGAAAAGGAGGATACGCCATGTAGCAGATGGTAAGAGATTAATTTATAGAAACCGATGAAGTGCATAACATGCTTCTATAAGACAGGCAACTGGGATTCACAATATTCAGGAGGTTCTAATCTACACACGGTAACTCTCCTCGTCAATCTTTGCAAGTGTCGACTCAGCCAGCTTCCCATCCTTCATTCCATAAAGATTCTGAAACGACATGATCATCGGTTTCCATTTATCAGGATCGATCCTATTCGCATACCCAGCAAGTCGCAGCTCATCCATGACATAGGTCCTTAGGATCTTGACCTCAATCGCCATGACGCACCCCTGTAACTCGACCGGTCCATCTTTGAAAAGCTTATGGATATCGACAACCTCAGCTTCCATGTGAACCGGACACTCCTTGATTCGCGGAGGCTGTACAAGATGCGAAGATTCTGGAGTCAATCTCGCGATGCCGAACTTGTCCTTCTCGTATCGATAGCCTCGCTGGGCCTTGCTTGCCGGCACGTCTTTGGTGCCAGTTGTTCGCGCCAGAGCATTAACACATTGGACCATATCATCGCTCGGAAGATTAAGCACGCACTGTCGCGTGCGGATGATGTTGGCGATTGTCTGTGAACTCCGTCCCAGCCCTATGACGGCACGATTTCCTAACCACCACGCTGATGAAATAGGGGCGATGTTCGGCGTTCCGTCTTCGTTGACTGTTGTCACAAGAACGACCGGGGTGCCCCAGTAGAAGATAGCAGGCGAGATGACCGAATGTCCCATGATAGTGTGCAGGCAGTCAAACGAGGAATTGAATGGCTGTTAGAGGAATTGAACAAGGATGATGAGCATTGATATTTATCCCGATGGTATTGTTTTGAGCTTATATACACGATTGTCAAAATATTGACTCGAACTCGAGCAATTTAATTGGTCATATCAATGTCAGAGTCTTGTTATGCCCTTTTGCGTTGACGGCGTCGATTGTGGATTCTCGTATCTATTCATCACTGGTCAATTTGACAGCAAACCATCCATATTTTCATAGAACCGAGTTAGAAGATAATATCTATCGGTTTAGTACTGACACTCCATTGCCTTTCATCTAACGAATTAGAAACAAGCCACATTTGTACGCACACACCGAGAATAGCGATATTGTTACTCCCCACGCGAATCCTGACGCTCGAGACGGAAGACATCAAGAGACCTTTATGGACTAGCAAACATCACTATTCTCATTCATAGGCATATCCACATCAATTCTCAATCATTTCGACGGTTCATCCCTCTCCATAACCATCATCATCCCGAGCTCCTTCGGCGCAGATTCCACAAATCCATTCTTCGCATACAGCTTTCTCCCGGGTGCATCAGCAAGCAGATTCACATATGGCTTGCCCTCTGGTGCTTCACTGCGAATCTTCGCCAGAAGCGTCTTGAGAATGACATCTCCCAATCCTTTCCGCTGATGATCAGGCAGGACTGCCATGTCGGCGATGTGGAAATACCACCCGCCATCGCCGATAATACGGCCCATCCCCACGGGAGTCGATGTCCCTGATGATTCATCTTCGAATGTCACGTAACATCCGTACCAGCTGCCCTGAGCTACGGCAGTTGCCTGTGCCTTGGTCTTGGGGGTGAGACCTGAAGCGGCGCGGAGGTGGAGATAATCTGAGATTGCGGGGTAGCCATCATGAAGACGGTAGTTGGGAGGGAGTGATGGAATGGAGGAAGACATGTTTATTCTTAGTTTGTTATCAAAATGGATAGTGGTCTGAATGATATGGTTTGTATTGCTCATGCGTGTTGCTCATTGAAATATAATACTGCGAGGATACCAGGCAACAGTAGGCAACACTGGCGTCAATCAAGTGCCAAGACATTCTCATTATGGACCGTTAAAACACCAACACATTTGGAATACCTTCATGTGCGTCAGATACATGAAGAATTTCATTATCCATTGTATACAGACATGGTTACCAGTATAGGCATTTAATTTATCATGTCAATGTTCTCTCCAGGGGTCGTAGATGCAAAAGCTTTCAACATGCATAGATAGCGTCTTGGACGATGCGTCAAAATATATTTCTCCGTGTTAGCTTCAGCAGCAGAACACTGCTTAATAGTCACGTTGTGCTTTATGGTAGAGAAAGTGCAATATCTCGACTCTTGATTTCTCGTGTATTTACAGCAGCTGCATAATCCAATATAATACTGACAACCGGTTCAATTAGCCAGTGGTGAAGTGAGCATTGAAGGCAGCATCAATCATAGTTAACAAGCAGATATTGGTTTCTAGAAGTCTTGTCTGCAGTTCCATGACAGGCTTGGCCATGCTTGGTAGTCCTCAATCCGTCAACTCCCTACGCGTGTATCAACTTGCATACTCTGAGGATTCTTACAGTAGTCCCTTGAACTTCCTGCAGTAACACCACTGTGGCTGAGGAAATAATAAAATGGTAAAAATGCTCCTCTAGTCGCTTGTACAGTTATTTTGGTATCATTTCTAAGCAGTACTGTGCCGACTCTACTCCGAGGAGTACATCTCGGCCGCACCAGAGGAGTACGGAGTACCACTGAAAGGCGGCATAAGCCGACGGAACCACAGAAATCAGTCAAAATTCACCAAGTGCAGTTGCCACCCGGTTGGCCCCAACTGCGGATGTACCAGGGAATTCAGGTTCGGAGAGCACCGAACGAGCACATCGATCCGGGGACCCAATAATAGTACCGAGCCACTTGATATGCGGCGTGCCTTGGGTCTGGAGGGCTTCAATTCTCGGAAACCAGCAGCTCTACTCCATAAATAGAAGACAGCTTTTGTGCCCTATAATTGTCACTCGGTTTCTGTATATCCACCCTACTGTTAAGAGGTATATCAACGTAAGAATCACAAACCATTAGTCATGACGGAATAATAGACTTCAATAGCACATTGATACTACTACTGAGTAGACTAAGACGCAATCATAGTCCAACAGAATTTTACTCTGCATAAGCATGATACGAGTGCTTCCTGTTAGCTTAGGACTGGCTTACGTTATGATTAGGACCCCGAAACGGTACAGAGTACTCCGTACACTGCGAGTATTCTGAAATAGTACGTATGGTACTAATACCGCGTATTGTCGAAGAAATCTCTGCAACGGTAAAGTCTGGGTCGGGCAATAGCGGACTCTTGGCAGCTCAAAAACCGAGCGGGAGACAGAATCTGATTGGCCTTGTCTCACTGGTCAAAGGATCCTTTAATGGTCTTTGGAAAAACCAACCAAAATCAATATTGCTTTATTCTTACTCTGTATTATTGATGCAAATCCCACAGATCCTGGAGCCCTAGTGCAGTACACCAATCCGGTAATCCAGCTGGAACTTAACCAGAGGCAAATCCTTCAATCAGGATCCAGGTGGACACAAACAGGGCGCAGGATACTGTGGAGCATCGACTACATGACCCTTGTTGATAGTAAGGTAGTCACCCAAGACATGTTTTGTTGTACTGCTCTTGATTGGAGAGGTCAGGGCGCAGTGGCCCGACCCTTTGCTACAGCTACAGGAAATCCTGCAGCTTTGCTACTTGGCAGCGAATGTTCGGAAATTTGTCCAGCTTCAACAGGGGGATTTTGTACGCGCAAGCGTTTGATTGCTGGTAATTATGATGCAATTGAAGGAGATTGAAGGGGCCGAGGGGCATCAATCTAGGATCCTGGCCCTGTGGATACGATCAGGGTCTGATGGAGGTCCTGTAGTGCATGAGCGGGTTTCTGGAATAGAAGCTCAAGCTGCATTAACCCGAGTAAGGTTACTGTGTATACAAAATTAAATGTACGGAGAATAGACTTGCATTATTGATCTGGTTGATTTCAATCAGATCCATCGATTGTA